CTGGCCGGCAATCCATCATGCTGTCCTCGGAACTGGTTGACCAACACCACTTAATGAGTGGACAAGGCGTCTCGGACATTTCCCATTTGCATCTCGCTTCCCGATTCCCCCCATTCTCGATTCAGAGTCATTAGCCGCAAACTATGCCTATATGGGCTGATATACCAGGCCAGACATGGCTCGCATAAAAATACAGCCATAAAATACAGACGAGAACGGGAGGCGGGTTCCATGGGGCACGCGTTTCGGGGCGCCGTTTAATTGCGGTGCGGTGCGATTTGTGCGCGATTTTAAACGCCTCAATTTGCATTTTCTTTTCCCCATTCGCCGCTCTATGAATGGAAACTGAAACGCCCAAGCCGAGCAGCTGGTTATGCATGTCACTCTATAGGCAAAGTGTAAATTAACACATGTTCATCGCATCAATTTCAATTATTCTTTGTCCCTCTGGAAACTGATAAGGACAATGGGTGGCGATCTCGTACTATCTGGGGTTAATTGCGAATTGAATGAATTTTAATTGAAATGTTTGAGAAACTATTACAGATAGGACGTTGGTCGAAGATTGGCGGTTGGGACACTCAAACAGGGCATGCAATAGTAGAATTTTTGGCTAGACTTTAAGAATTTAATATTAGGGATGCAACAATAATGAGAAAAAAAGTACAAAAATTACCTGCTTTGCTGGTTTATTTTTAGCTTCGGTTTTCTAGACCCTGTCTTATCGTTTCCAGTCCTATTTTACGACTTGGCTTGTTCAGTTGGCCTGGCCGCTTGTCTGGCCGCAAGGCGCGTTTTAAAACGCCAGTGAAAAGCCAGCAAATCGCGTCAAACATTAAAAACATTACCCTGAGCCGAGGGGGTTGGCCCTGGTAATTGTAAGCGGCTATTAAAATAATTTAACGCGCCTCCGTTCGCAGCGGAGCCAATAAAGCTAAAGGCCGTAGGGTTGGGATGGGGCAGAAGGGATTACCCAGCCAGGATTAACATAATTTTTGCTAATATTGTGAGCAAGGCTCACAGCTTGCAGCACATAATGCGCTTAGAAATACGGTATGAATAAAGACTGCATTAACCTGAATGGTGGCCACGACTGCAGCAGCTGCAGGAAGGATTGTGGCAACGGATTGTGGCAGTGGCACGCAGGCTGAACTTAAACTGAAGACTTAAGGGTGACGAGGAGCAGAGGTGGAAAAAGGGGCATGATCCATGATGAGCTGTGCGGCAGAAACGCGCCAAAAAGCAGCGACGTCGACTGCATTAAAGTGGAAAATCCTGTCTGACAACATTTAAACCAAAAAAAAAGAAATATATATATGTATACAAACCTATAGTAAATATGTGCAAAATAAAACCTACAACAACAAGCCACAAGAACAACACATAATAAGCGTGAAAAAAGGCAAAATGAGAGCAAAACCTACCCAGTCCCATTCCCAAACCCAGACTTAGTTCCACTGGGTCCCAGGGCAGGATAAAGTGGAAGTGGGCAATGAAAAGGGAGTGCGGCTAGAAGAAAAAAACCACCAACAAACAAAAGAAAGGAAACAAAACGAGAAAATTGCCCTCCCCTCCTAGACAGAATGCCCTCATACCATATGAAAAGGAAATCTTACGACCACAGATTAATATTTTGTTTTTTAAAAAAGCAAAGCATTCAAACTGCAGCATCCATAAATTTTAAGTCCATATTCAATTTGTAGGTAATTTCAAATTTCCGGAAATCATTACCATTTGCTTATAGTAGGAAAACAATTCGGAATGGGGTGCATGTGTTATTATTATAAAAATATTAGACTAGATAATTTCGGAAAAATGCATATAAACAAAGAATCGTTATAAATAATAATTTTCTAAGAATTTTCTAAGAAATTAAATGATTCACCTAACAAAATGCTCATAAAAGTGCTTCTAATGAAAATAAAAACATCATGTGATTCGGGCTTTTTCAACCATTTACTGAAAACATTTGGGATACCTGATCCAAAGGCTAACTCAGCACTAAAACCATCGCACTTTGCAAATTTTCTGCGATTTCGTTTTGCACCATATAAAACACGAGAACATCAATAAAAGTTCGTGATTGTTTACGAGAAAAGCCAATTAATAATGGAAAATCACATGTGGTTTTTCACAAGCAAAACACGAACCAAAACATTCTCCCATCCACACGAAGCAAGAGCAATTAAAATCGGTAAAGAATATTAATTTTGTCAGATTTTTAAAAAATGATGATTATTGCTTAAAAATTGAAAGAAAAAGTTGTAAATTGAGCGCCAGTTAGGGGTGTTGAAATGCAATAAATCTTTGAATGGCTTAAAGGTAGTATGGTATCTCGTGCTAAATGATCTTGAAACTACCGTGGCCGATGATTAATGATGAGTTGCGAGCACATATATTAATGTTTATGAATAATTTGGTCATATTTAACAGAGCTCTGCGATGTTTAATAATTCTCCACATTGCTGGCGAGTGCTAATGGAAAATATTTCCAAGAACTCCGAGTGTGTTTCGCCAAAGCCATTTGTATAGCTGTCAACATATGCGAGTGCGATTTATCAGGTAGTTTTGTGAGACTTGGTTTCGCTAAGTCTCTGCAAGTAATTTCTGGTGAACCAATTGTTCGATTTGAGGAACCACTAACTCCATTGTGGCATTTCCGTTCAGAGTCAAACCAAATTCTCTGTCCGAATTCCTGCCTTGAAGAATTGACACAAATATATCATACGCATTCTGAATACGCATTGTTACCCTGTGAATGTGAATGTTATAGGCCTCGTTTTGTCAAAGTCTGCGGCAGAGTGAAAGGTAAGAAATGAGGTAAACCAAAAGCCTTTCCTGACCCAAACATGTTTAATGCCCTCTGCTCTTTGCCCTTTTCTCTGGCCTCATAACTCTGTGAATTTTACCGGGAAATTAACGACAACTGACAGGCGCAGAACAAAGGACTCGGAAAAAATCAAACAATTCAGGTCCGACAATATCCATAAATAATCTCTCTGCCCAGAACGCTCAATCAATTGTTAAAATGCTGAATAATTGATTCGGTTACAATGCTCTGCACGGCAATCAATTAACAGCCGCTTTAAGAATGCAATATAAAATCATTAGGGCCATGAAAATAAAATGGCACTGGCAATAATAATAATTCCTAATTGTGATTTGCATGCGCCATTTCGATTTTAATCGAACCGAGGGCGTTTATTGCATTATTCTGCGTGTGTTGCTATATTTGATGTAAATACTTGTCAGCTGGCTTGTGGCAGTGGTTATTGTCCGATATAACTTATTTTTTGCCATAAAAATAGTGGTTTTATTCGATTTATGACAGGCCACTTGAGGTGGGTTGTAATTGAAATAATGGTTATTAATGTGGTGGTTTAATGTGTGTAATTGTTGGATGTCTCAAAATCTATTTATATATTTATTATCGTTGGTATTATCAAATTCATGGGAACTATGTAACATTTTTTCCCCATATCAGGTGGAATGCTTTCTCTCACACTCTCTCAACTGATGGTAATTGGTGCGTAACTTCCCCCTGAAAGTCAATGAAGCGTTACCAAAAGCATTATTGTCTGCCATTCGAATTGATTGTTTATTTGCATTGTTCATTTGCCTCCATGAAATCATCGCCCTGCAACTACCTGTTTGCCAGTCTGTATTTGCACTTAGAAAAAACTGTTTTTCTAACCAAAATTTTTCAACATTTCGCTGTGTAATTACACCCAGTAAAGCCACAAACTATTTAACTGATTTTTATATTTTTTCTGAGTGTTTCTCTGGGGGAAATGCGCAATAGTCCGGCAAAAGTAGCCAAGTGACAAGACCCAAGATCAATGACTCCAACGAAGGGAGTTTTTGGGGGGAGCTGAAGCAGGGGCTCTTATCAAAAGTTCTGGTCTGTTGATAAACAAGCGGCATGATAAATGGACAGCAATCAATAACGAAGAGCTGGATGCCTTTCCGACCAGCCAGCCAGTTAGTCAGTCGGTCGGTCTGTCGGTTTGTTTACCTGCAATCAAAACAGTTTATGTTTTTCCCTTTCATTCTGTTTGCCTGTCTTGTATGTAAATAAGCCCGTAAATACGCGGGCCGTATAGGCAGGCAAATAAACCGGAGACTGGGGAGAGACTACTCACATTCACTTTGTTTGCCTTCCTATTTGCGAACGCTGCGTATACGCAATGGGTGCAGTTTTCAGTTCGATTCTGTTAATTCGTTCAAGGTTGCCGGGGTGAAAAGTTATCGAGAAAGTTACAGGTTGCATGTCAGGAGAACACTACCAGAAAGGTGTTGGCGATAACACAGAAAACTAACTACCGACAGGCGAAAAACTGGGTTAAAAGGTGACTTCCGAGGGGGTCTACGTGCATTGCGCATACGCAACGTGGCAGCAGCAGAGTCGTAAAAAGCGAGAAAACAAGCGCTCACCTAAAGTCAGTAAAGCGGCAGCTGTTTGTTCAATAAAATCCAAACAAGCTGGCCTCAAACGGGGAATCAGAACGAAGTGGCTATACCCTGACTTAGCTCCCTCACCCCTGAAATCAACTGAAATCCCATTAATTCGCATTCACATTTACATTCACATTCAAATTCTTCGCACTGCAGCCATTTTTCCACCCAGAGTTTTGTGCACTCAATTAAAATGCCAAGTTCAGCGCCTGCCAACATTCAAAACTGACAGCTGACAGATGGAAATTTACCCGGCTAAGGAAAACTCCTCCAGTCACGGACTCACTCGTCACTCATTCCACGGACTCAACTATCAATCATTCCGCTCATTTACCTGGCAGGTGCAAATGTGTCAGTTGTAAATGGGCAGAAAGTTCACGAGAGTCTTTGCAGTTGGCTTCTTGAAAGTGTCACCGGCTTGAGTGGGAAGTTTAATTGAGATGAATAAATGATAAGGCTGCTTGATTAAGGATTTCCAGCCGGCTTTTTCTGCCATCTTATTTGCTGGGTCTGCCAAGGTGTTAATCAGTCTATTTCTGTTTTCCAGGATTGCAGATATAACACAGAGAGACCCAGAGGAAGTCTAAACCATTAAAAGCTAAGGTGAGTTTCGAAATGAAATTGCTCAATGTACCCTTGAACAGGTAATTAGCCCAAGCTGCGGTCCATAAAATCCGTTTCTTCGCACTTGGTTGCCTGCACTTCCTTCTGGTTCGCTGCACTTCCTGGCAGTTTGACCTCCCAACGCCCCAGAAATTAATGTGCAAAATCACGCGTCTGCATTTAATTCACTTTGGGGCCTGGGAAATCGACGAGTCGGGAAAGCCACTCGAGAGACGTGGCAACATTTTTGCACGCATTTGGCCGCCGCCGCCTCCTTCGATTGGGCAACCAAGCTACCATCTTGGCCAGCTTCGTCTATTTAAGGGCATTGCTTCTCGCAGCTTTTTCCCAGCAATTGTGCTGGTGCTGCTGCTGCTGGCAATTGTCCTTTATTGCCATTCCTTCATTAGGCTTGAGTCTTGGATGTGGATGGCATTTTAATGCAATTTTTATGCGCATTTTTCTTCTTATAGCATCCCTGTTGTCGATGTGTCACTTGTAGGATCATTTGAATTGTAATTCATATAATTCGCCGTATTGTTGTCTTGATGGGCCTTTGTGGCTGCGGCTGTAAGTGCTTGACTTTCGTTTCCAGGGAATGCAAGGTTGCCGCTCTTCACTCGGGCATCGGCTATTTAATCAAATTGTTGACTTCTCAGATGATGATTTAGTCATCAAATTCAGCTACTAATCACATTGTTCACAAGTATACACTCATTCCAAGAATCCAAACTACAGCTGCTGGCTTTGGGCAAAATATTTAATTGGGCATGGAAACAAATTCTATCCGGGGAAGTGCATTAAAAACGCATAAACCGCCGGCGAGAAGTTAAACAAACATGTTCGGCATCCGAGCGAAGACCACAAAAGCGCCATCAAAGTGTCAAAAATGGAACACATGTGGGGATTGTTGGGATTAGGACCGGGCAGAGCTGGCGGAGACATAAATTAGCCCGTAATAAAGTTCTAAATAAACTCTGCTAGCCGCAGGGCATATAAAAATAGTCTCCAGTGGCTCACCGACGGGGGGAATTAACCGCATTAAAAATCTGAGAAGACATAAATATGCATAGAAGTCGGAGAAGAATTGCGAAGCAGCTGCCTACTGCATTTTCCTCTTCAGGCGGAAGTTAAAACGCAGCCGAATGCAATTAATATTTACTTTGTATGAATTAGAAATTATAGGTATTTTCTAAAAATAGAAAAAAGGCATTACAATTTTGCAATCATATATATGTTTTGCAATCAGCACTATTTTTTAAAGATTCATTGGCGGTTACCATTCGAGGTTCTAGAATTTACGTAACAACTGCTCTCAATCTTAACTGCTTATATTTCTGGTAGGCAAAGTAGTCTATTATAATTGGATATTTATCTTTTCTTCACATTTAAGTAAAATAACCTTAAAATGATTAAATACCGGATCCATTAGGTAAAATTAATTATTTCGGCCTATTGCCTCTCTCTTCCTCCCTCTTTTACCAATCGACTGGACTGCAGCTCTAATAACCTAATAACAAGACAAAGGATTCGATTCTAAGCTGCAGCCTGCACCGCATAAGATAATTAATTTTACACAATGCAGCCGGAGCTCAAGGATACAGTCATTTTCAAGCCAGTGCATCCAAAATACCACCGTTCATTTTATCCCTAGCCACGAATGTGAATGTCATCATTTTCTCCTGAGAAAATGTTGAAATGTTATTGTAATTGAAAGTGTCGATATGGAGGATAGTAAATTGTTTATAAAAATAGTTTAAAAACGAAAGACAGTGAATAGGTTAGTGTCCGTTTCATAGGAAATATTGTTGCACAATCTTATAATACCACATTTAATTTTTCTTTTAAGATGGATTTAAATTGACGCATTTGTCTATTAGTCACGAATAACAAGAAAGGAAGCTAGCTTCGGCCAGCCGAAGCTTATATACCCTTGCAGATCATTCCTATTAATTAACAAATCGCAAAAATGTTCAATTTTCTAATATTTCCCATTAATTTTCCGATCGTTCCTATGGCAGCTATATGATATAGTCGTCCGATTTTGATAAAATGAAAATTGAAATTCGGAAATATTTAAAATGAGTCATGTTCTAAAGTAGAAGAGAATACAATAAAAACCAAAAAAGCTAAAATTTATTTCTGTGTAACTTTCCCATTAATTTTCCGATCGTTCCTATGGCAGCTATATGATATAGTCGTCCGATTTTTAAAATATTTTTTTCAAAATTCTGAAATATTTAAAAAATAATATTTCCAAGAGTAGAAGGTTTTATTTCAAAAAACACCGAAGCTAGAATTTTTTTAACGTTTCGTTCCTATGGGAGCTATAAGATATAGTTATCCGATCCGGTTGGTTCCGACTTATATACTACCTGCAATAGAAAGAAGACTTTTGGGAAAGTTTCATCGCGATAGCTTCAAAACTGAGAGACTAGTTTGCGTAGAAACGGACGGACAGACGGACAGACGGACAGACGGACGGACAGACGGACATGGCTAGATCGACTCGTCTAGTGATGCTGATCAAGAATATATATACTTTATGGGGTCGGAAACGTCTCCTTCACTGCGTTGCAAACTTCTGACTGAAATCATAATACCCTCTGCAAGGGTATAAAAACATAATATTTATAAAGTCACTTAATTATTTAATTAAATCATATATCCATAAATAGTCACTTAATGATTCAATCACACTTAAAAGGCAAAAACCCCTTCTTTATATGACTCTTGTTTTCCAAATGTTCCAAGTAGAACTCAATTATTTAGGGCAATATTTTATTTTATATATTTTATTGAATCGCTAAATACAAAAATGAAACGAAAGCCACCTAGTAGGCCATGACATCGTGCACCCGCCGGAATCGTTCGCCCGCCTGTCTCAGTGTCAATCCTCGAGTTTCCGGCATTAGAACGGCAAAGGCCACCAGACCTATAACCATGATAATGCCCACGGCCACGAAGTACGTGTAAAAGAAGTCGGCGAAGGGGGTGAACTTGACGATGACAATGATGTGGATCACCTGCTCCAGACACACGATCAGGCCGATCAGGAAGGGCTTCACTCGCATCGGGAAGGCCTCGCCCAGATAGACGGATGAGCTGCAGATGAAGAGGCCGGCAAAGAACTGGAAGGCCATGCCCAACCGACACACCTGCCACATGAAGTAGTCGTCGATGAAGTGGGCATAGTCCCCGTAGACTCCGGCCATGCCCAGCATCAAGCCGGCCATGCACATGAGTCCCAGCAGCGAGACGAACTTCCTGCCCGCGGTGTCCAGGACGGCGAAGGTGATGAGGGCTCCGATCAGGCGGAGAATGGCGAATATGATCGTGGGCCAGGAGTACGTGCTGCCCTCCACCAGCTGTGTGGTTTCCACCATCGATTCCGAGAGCGGCACCGAGAAGGTGAAGGCCACGAAGCAGCGGAAGAGCAGCAGCTTGAGGAAGGGCATCATGGACTCCTTGAGCTGCTCACCCACTCCCTGGCTACTGCCCTCCACCACATACAGCTTGGCCTCGTCGTAGGCCCGATCCCCCGCCTCGCGGGTCCAATACGATCCCATCAGCTGCTTCACACTGGCCCGTGCCTTCTGCTCCTGATTCTGGCGGATATAGAAGATCGGCGAATCGATCGTAATGGCCACGCTGCCCAATGCAATCGCTGTGAAGACAATGCCAAAGATGCCGTGCACCCGATTGATGGTCATGCCCAAACTAGCGCTCCACTGGGAGTCGTAGATCACCTGAATGGCCACTCCCAAGGCCAAGCCATATTGCTCCAGGGCGCAACAGGTTCCTCGGTTCGAACTGGAAGCTATCTCGGCGCTATGGATGAGGAAGGGCACGGTTATCAGACCAATGCCCACGCCACCCACATAGCGGGCAGCCAGGATCGATTCGTACTGGTAGGGAGCACTCACAAAGATGATGGCGTCGATTAGGTTCATAATACCACCCAGGCCCTGTAAGGAATCAGAAATATTAGAAATTTTATTGGGTTTAATCATTAGACTTAGGAACACTTACATAAAACACTGATTTGGGCAGAAAGGATGCCGTTATGGCGGCCACCACAGTTCCGATTATTACGCCAATAAACCAACTGTACTGGAACTCCAGAGTGCCAAAGGCGGGAATGGTGGTCAAGTTCCAGCCGAGACCTTGGGCCATGTCCATGCCAGCGTACACAAAAAGTAGCGTGGCTATTGGGAAAGAAAATTGGGGAATTATTATTATCCGTTGGTAAAATAACAAAAATTAAAACTTAAGATTTTATGCATGTTGACAGTCTTACGAATTTTCAAACCAAATTATCTTTTTATGAAGAGTTTATGAAGGGATTTCAGAACTAATAGTTTGCTGCATACTTTTTGAATACCACATTTCCTTTCTTTTTTTCGTGGTTCTACGGATCTCACCTGCTGTTCCGGACTGCGTTTGCGAGGGAGTTGCCCAGCGTCCGTTGGTTTGTGTGATCACCACCGTGGTTTGTGGTGGCGGTGGTGGTGGAGGTTGTCTTACATTGGTGACATATGTGGTCTGTACATTCTGGGGACCCGTGCTTATGTAGGTGGTTTGCTGGACGGGCACTGGACCCGCGGTTACATATGTGGTCGTCATATTATCCTCTTTTATATAACCAAGCAGTGGTCTTCTTGCCTTGCAAGAACTCGGATCGATTCGTTCGTTTTGGTGGCCACTGGCGGACTGGGCGAGCTTTTATAAAATATTTCCGCGTAAGTGGTAGCTATCAGCAAAAAAGATATCTGATAATTGATATATTTTATCAGCTGGTAGATACTCGCGTACTCCGCTTTACGGTAGGCCTGTCGCTGGCCGTGATTCATTTGAAGTAAGCCTCGATAAGTCGTGATAACATGAACAGAAACATCCAAGGGCCCTAAGTTCAATGTTGTTACTCACCTATTTGTTGTATCCTGGCTGACTTGGTTAAATGGATCGTTTAGCGGGGGACAAAGTTCAGCGTACGTGAGCCATCGTTTTTTGGGGGTATACCCCCAAAAATGAGAGGCCTTCGCAAAAGGTAATTGACAATGGATAAGAGGATGACGTGCTGCTAGTTATGCAGAAAATGGTATCAATCCGAAATAATTGATTTGATTAACAAATGTCAAAGATAATTTGTCGGGGATAAGATAAATGTTCTGTTTCTGCTTATTTACTTGAAATTTAAAAATACCTAATTTTGATTATAATGACTAAATAGTTAAGAAATTAATTTTTATTTAATCTATACATCTTTTCGGATTTATTTATCAAAATTGGATATTATCAATTTCCCACTGAAGAAGCAATGGGGGTTTCTTCAAATTTTTTTAAAATAATCGTATATTGTGCAATCGCTGGAATCTCTTATTAGCTTCACGCAGTGTTATCTTCTTAGTTTCTGGAATTACGATTCCGAAGAAAATGACTCCAACAAACAGGATAATTCCCACAGATAGATAGTAGTGGTAGAAAAAAGTCTCGGAACCCCGATTGTAGCCCACAATATTGATAATATGCACCGTCTGCTCGAAGCCAATCACATAACCCACAAGGAAGGGTTTCACTTTCATGGGGAAGGCTTCGCCCAGGTAAACCGATGAGCTGCAGACAAAGAGTCCTGCGAAGGCCTGGAAAGCTACGCCCAGTTTCCACACCTGGTTCATGTAGTAGGTGACGAGCACATTCGCAGGATCTGCATAGGAGACAGCCATGCAGAGCATCAGGATGGCCATGCAGAGTAGACCCACGAGTGAGATTAGCTTGCGTCCCATCTTGTCCAGAAATCCCTGGGCAACTAAAGCTCCAAGCAAGCGGACCAATCCCCAAACGGTCACTGGCCAACAGGAGATGTATCCTTCGGTGAAGAGGGCGCTCTTGATGAGGGATTCCGAGAGGGGCAGGGAAAATGAGAAGGCGACGAAGCCGCGATAGAGCAGCACTTTTATGAAGGGCACCACTGAGCTCCAGAGCTCCTGGAAAAATGTCCTCTTCTGGCTCTCTACCACATACAGCTGGACCTCCTCGAATTCCTGATCTGCCGAATGGTTAAAGCTTCCCAGTAGCTTCTGGTGACATTCGCGGGCCTTCTCCTCCTGGTTGCGTCGGAGATGGAAGATGGGTGACTCTATCGAAAGGGCAGTCATCCCAAGACCGAGTAGAGAAAACACAATTCCTATGATCCCATGAACCTCGTTGACGGATGCCTCCTTGTCATCCACCCACTGGGTGTCGTAGATAACCTAAGGGATTAGATATTATAATCTACAGGTTTTATAACTCCCTTTCTTGATAGTCACCTGGATGGCGATGCCCAAGGCCAGGCCACACTGCTCCATGGATCCGCTAACCCCACGATAGTTATTGGACGCCACTTCGGCACTATGGATGAGGAAGGGAACAGTGATCAATCCAATTCCTGCTCCGGCAACATAACGAGCGGCCAGAAGGCAGTCGTAATGAAAGGGGGCACATGTGAAAATAATCGATCCAATGAGTTGCATAATGCCCCCAAGGACCTGTAGGGAACGAAAATAAAATACTAGGAGGGTCCATAAAGTTTTCCTTTTTTTCACCCACATAGAACGGCAGCTTTGGCAGAAAGGTCATCGCCAGGGAGGCCACTGCTGCTCCGGCCAGAACTCCAATGAACCAACTGCATTTGAAGACCTGCGTGGCGGTGGTGTTCAGGGTCTGATTCCAACCCGCACTGTGGGCAAAGTCCATGCCGCCGTAGACGAACAGAAAGAACACTGTCAAGTGGGGATTGATGGATGGATATGAGAAAGTTCCACTAACTTTTAGAACCTCCTATACCCACCTGCACAGGAAACATTGAGTTGCTTGTTGATTTGCCTTAAGGATCCCAAATTGGTGATGGTAGAACCCCTTTGTATCGGTGGAGGAGGTGCTTTCGGGATGTGCACATCCTCCCTGATCTTTGTGCCAAAAGCATTTGGTTCACCGCCTTCCGGACCAGCCGTTACATATGTGATTGTCATATTCCTTTCTTCAATAACACTTTCCGTGAAAAATACCTCTGTTCGATCCACACAACTTGATGGACAAGTTTGAACTACAAGAACTTAAAAAACCAATTGTGGTGTAAGTAATAAAATCTTACTGCAGGATTATTGCACTAGCTTGTAAGCCTGTAGATAAAGTCTCGGGTCTCTTTTAAGTCGTTCCGACAGGGAAAGTAAGCCCCAATTGGGTACCATAAAATATTGTGATTTTTTATTTGACGCATTAATGAAGAATATTTATCGAATTTCAGTTGAAAAAGTTTCTTTGAAGAAATAACTCATGGGGAAAAAAGCTTCTATGAGGCACAAAAAGTTATTACATTTTTAGTACATTTTTCATAGCTGTCAACTGAGCTTTTTGACCTATTTTTCCTCCAATAAATTACTCAAAAGGTCTTCTTCTTAATTTGTTTAAAAATACAATTTTATTAACCTACACTAGCAAATAAAAAACGAAAATTTGAACAAGTACAATGAGTGTTTTCCAGTCAGGATCCAAACGCCTAATAGATCTTTATGTCGTACCACCCCTGGAAACGGTGGTTAGCCTGTCGGAGTGTCATTTTCTTTGTTTCCGGCATGGAGACGGCAAAGAAAATCACTCCCACCAGCATGATAATGCCTGTGGCCAAAAAGTACTGGAAAAGGAAATGCTGGCTGGGCACAGGACTGACGCAGGCGATTACGATGACGTGGATGATCTGCTCCATGATGACGATAAATCCTACGCAAGCCGACTTGAGTCGCAGGGGAAAGGCCTCGCCCATGTAAGCGGATGAGCTGCAGATGAAGAATCCGGCGAAAGCCTGGAAGGCCAGAGCGATATTAGTGGCCTGGGTCATGTAGTAACCGCTGCTTATGTTGGCCAAATCGGCATAGATCCCCGCCAGGCCCAGACTCATTCCGGCCATAACGAGCAGGCCCACCAGTGAGACAGCCTTGCGACCGAATGAGTCCACGCAGCACAGGGCCACCATGACGGAGATCGAACGGAGCACTCCAAACAGGTACATTGGCCAAGCGCTGAGGGATCGCTCCGCCACTGCGGTGCTGCTGATGATCGATATGGTGAGCGGCAGGGAGAAGGAGAAGGCGACAAAGCAGCGGAAGAAGAGCATCTTCAGGAAGGGCATCACGGAGGCCACCAGATCCTCGCCCAGGCTCCGACTATCGCTCTCCGCCACATACTTCCTGGCCTCCTCCAGAGCCGCATTCACGCCACCCGGGGCGTGACCAAGTAGCTTCTCCTGGCTCCTCCGCGCCAAAGTCTCCTGGTTTCGACGCAGGTAGAAGATGGGTGACTCCACCGCCAGGCCTGTCATCGCCAGACCAATCAGAGAGATTACGATCCCAATGATGCCGTGTACCAGGTTGGGTGTGGATCCCACTATCGAAGCCCATTCCGTGGTGAAGACCACTTGAACGACAATGCCCAAGGACAGGCCGCACTGCTCTGTGGCGCCACTGACTGCTCTAAAGTTTCTGGGAGCCACCTCGGCGTTGTGGATCAGGAAGGGCACCGTGATGAGGCCAATGCCCAAGCCGGCCAAATAGCGGGCAGCCAAACAGGCTGCGTAGTCCTCGGGAGCAGCTGTGAATATTATGGAGCCAGTAAGCTGCATTAGTCCTCCAAAGACCTGAAAAAAAGGGAATGATATAGAAAATTTCCGAACTGCATTGATTAAAGGTTCCTTCGGTCATGAATGGTGTAAGAATAATAATGAAGGAACTTTTGCGAAAATCACTTAAACCGATAAAGTTTTGTTATAGAGAACATCGGTATTAATATCTCTTAAAATTCTCACATTAAACTGCTCAATCTGAGCTTCATATCGTCTTAGTAATCCCTACTCACATAGTAGACCTGCTTGGGCAGGAAAGTCATGGTGAGAGCAGCGGCCAGAGCTCCAATAACGACTCCTATGAACCAACAGTACGAGTACTCCGTGAACAGGAGGACGCTGTAGGTCTCATTCCAGCCCAAACTGGCGGCAAAATCCATGCCGCCATAGATAAAAAGGAAGAAAACTGTGGTAGGAAGAGCCGTCGATTAGTGGATTTTCCCTTATGGTATATGCCCATTTTCTCACCTGCATAGGGCGTAATATTTTGCCTATTGATTCGGGAAAAGTATCCACTGCGATTAACGATAACAGCTGGTTTTCTGGGCTCTGGCGGTGGTGCGGATGCGATGACGATGGTCTCCATTGGGATCGGGGAATTGGGATTTGCACCCACATTTGTGGTTTGCATTCCACTCATTGTTAAAAAGTCGACAGGTTTCGTTCGCTAGCTCTTTCGTTACTGCGGCCCACTATTTGCCCACAATCGTTTTTAAATCAGCCAAATGTCGTTGTCCGAATTTCGCGATACTGATATCTAGCCGATAAGTAAATGACATTGTAATCAGTTTATAGATACTTGTATCTTGTGTCTTCGGCGATTTCACTCGATTCGACTCGATTCAATTGGCCGCTTGGCCTTGGCTGTGATTCACGATCAGTCACAGTGGGGACTTTTTGGGGTGAGCAACAAGGTGGGGCAGAATAAAAATAGTTTTCATATATCATTTGATTAAATTGCTCCTGAATTTACTACCCCCCAGGTGCCTGATAAGGGAATGACTGATAATCAAAAATTTATTTTTACCTAATGTGGATTTGATCAGTTTTACATAGAAATATGTTGTGGGACTTCCTTAAAAAAAAGTTTCGTGGATAAGATAATTTATATTTTGAGGTACATATACTTTTCAGACCTTTATGTATTTCTTTAAAATTACTAGAGGTCCTAATCCTTTATGACACTTGCTTGATTTTAGACCAACTGTCATAAGGCCTTAATTAGATGTTTTAGACTAAGACCAGACTCTGCTTGGCCACCCATTTTCCAATCTATCTAAGACCTAACTGCGTACACCCAAGTAATGCGTGACGACTCCACAACGCCTGTCTAGCGCCTTCATTATGTTTAGCAGCAATATTTTCAAGAGAGCAAGACGGGAACCCAACTCATCGGGCTCATAATCATACCCATAATCATCCCAGGGGCGGGCCACACTCGAGTGTTTGGTTGAGTTGTCTCAAATTGCGTAATGTCTGCACTGACATTGCCATTTCCATCCACACTCCACTTTATTACAACCGAGCCAGCATCTTTGCGAGTCAATCTATCTTGTTGCGCCTCAAACTGTCAAATCGCGCCACATGTCTATAGATGTGCTTATGGATACCAAAGGGGAAGTGGAGACAGACTGTGTTGCCTGTTCCTCGTCATTTGAGGCAGCTCGACAAATTAGCCAAACGGGACGCCGTCACAGCTCCAGATCCAGCCGCATCAGCATTGCCATCTCCATCTCCATTTCGTTTCGAGGGATTCAAGTACATTTTAATGAGTTTATGCACAAAGTTGTCTAATGGCGTAAAAATTATGAGCGCCAACATGTGGCTACGGATATGGGTAGATGGCTGTGGAGATGGAGATAGATCTGGAGTGGCACATGGCTCGCAAGCACTTTGCATAAATTTCTGTAGCACTGTAGCGACGTCTGCCATAGACATCTGCATGACTGGAATCAAACAGGCTTTGAAATGATTCCATTCGAATAGAATAGAGTTGAGTAAATGCTCAGCACACTATGACTAGAATGGATTGCATCTTGGTCCGTATAGAGTATGACAGAAAAGGCCTAGAGTTAAACGAGTGATAACGAAAAACAGAATGTCATATTTGAATAGGCTGAAATCATTCGAGTTATTCGAATCCATTCGATTTTCTTATATGACGTCATAAGGGCAAAATAGAAAATTAAATTTGTTTTGATATACATATATGTATGTCTATAAATAAGTATTTTTGTGATTTCTTATTTTCGAAATTACCAAGCTCCCCTTAGTTTAAACTCAAAACACATGCAAAAATCCACGAGAATTAAAAAAAAAATGGAAAAACAATTAGTTTTATGAACATATCCCAGAACCAAAAGATCCGCCTCTATCGCCACAGATAAAGAAAGGAATGGTCTTCCTTGGACCGCGACTTCTTAGTATTGTCATCCTGGAGTTTGTTAGATAAATTCTTAAGAAGTTGCGGTCCAAGGAAGACCATTCCATTCTGCCTCTTCACTACACTATTTTATACTTCTCCTCCTTGGTCCGCGAATTCTTAGGATTTAAATATGAAAATGGCATGGTTGGATTCAGTGGCGAGCTAAAACTAAAGGTAGATTTGTAATTTAAAAAAAGACAAAAAACCAAATATTTATGTAAGTATTTCAAAACAAATTTAATTTTCCATTTTGCCCTTATGACGTCATGTAAGAACTCGAATGGATTCGAATAAATTCGTCTGAGTTGTTCGTGTACTCATTTACTCGATTCGTTTTCCATCACCATTTCTGGTTCGACTGAGTTTTACGTCAGTACACTTGTTTATTCAAGCCAGTTTCCCTACACATTCCAACTCATTCAACTCATTTTGAACATTGTCAATTCGAATATGTATTTTTTGTTATTCATGCAGATGTCTAGTCTGCCAGCCCACTAATGGAGTCTAATTACTCTGGCCGACAGCCCGACGCGAATCTCTTGGCTAATAAAAACGTATTAAGACAGCGCACAGACATTGCCCAACTGTCGTTTATTCAACGGCTTCACCGCTCCTCCAAATGGGACACATATAGGAATCGTCATGTGACCATCAAGTGAGTACTCTGAGTCCTCTGCCCGGCGATCCCTCTCGTACATTTCTGCCCTGCCTCTGGGCCAGCTTGCTCTTAACGGACATCTCCATGCACTTCTGGCTGAACCTCACCACCAGCATAAAGTAGACGCACTTCAGCGAGAGAAGCAGCACCCGCTTCCAGTTGAGGTAGGTGCGCGGCCACGATGAAGATGTAGGCATTCTGCTGATCCAAGGGAGATCGCCAGGGGAGGTCTCAGGTTTACTTTTAGATTTTCACAGTAAGAAGGGAACGACAAAGTGACATTTAACTCAGTGGATAAATTTTTAATCTTTCGAAGAGGTCCAAAAAAATTAGCCCATTCATGTTTCCGCCCGGGATTGAACCGGGGGCCTTCCGCGTGTTAGGCGGATGTGATAACCACTACACCACGGAAACGGATGTTGGGGTGGCTTAAAAGCTTTCCGTTTTCAAAGGATATTAAATAAAATCAGGAAAAGGACAAAAACAGCCGCTGCTCTTTCTGATATAACTTTAGTTAAAATTTGTTGACTTAAAAAAATTGAAAGGGAAAGAAAGACTGCACTTGTGAGTAAAATCTATTTTTAGATACGTTAAATTTTTTCTATAATGTATATTTTTATAAAGAAATTTGAGTTGTACAAAAAGATTATTGCCGAAACCCGGGATTGAACCGGGGACCTTTAGATCTTCAGTCTAACGCTCTCCCAACTGAGCTATTTCGGCTTATGATTAGGTCCATTCTCATACTGTTTATAAAATGTATCTTCAATAAAATTATTTAGGTAAAAAAAAAGTTCATTAGTTATTCATGTTTCCGCCCGGGATTGAACCGGGGGCCTTCCGCGTGTTAGGCGGATGTGATAACCACTACACCACGGAAACACATGTTGGGGCGGTTTCAAAGGTTCCGATTTTCAAATTATTCCCAGAAAAAGGATAACAAACCAAGAATCCTTTTGCAAATATTAGCAGAAGTAAACTTGTCATCCGAAAGCTTAAATTTATAATAAAGTAAATTTATTTTTAAGTTCCATTGAATATACGAATTATGATAAATTATGGCCAGAATATGAACATATTTTTCCGAAAAAAATTATAGTCACAAAAAAAGTTTTTGCCGAAACCCGGGATTGAACCGGGGACCTTTAGATCTTCAGTCTAACGCTCTCCCAACTGAGCTATTTCGGCCGCTGAATTTCTCGCGTCGAACTACTGATTACGAGTGCTTGGCGTCGATATACAAACCAGTGTATATATAAACCACATCCCCATTTAAAACCAAACAGCCATTAGCTTCTCAGTAAGGTTTAAATGTGTCCCCTATTTTAAAAGCGCATTTATGAAGACACAAAAATAAATCTGTAAAATTCATTTTGCACTCTTTAGCCTGTCACAATTTCTGACAGTTGCAAAAATGTATGTTGACACTTGCATGTCTTATAATTCCACATCAATTTTACAAAGACTTATTGCAGCTGCCGGTTTTGAATGGCGGAAGTTTTCTCTTATAGGTGAGGTGAAAAAACAAAAATGTCGTTGGTCAGGACGCGAGTGTAATAATTACCTTAATATCTTTTTGAATTTTAATTTTTATGACGTTCGGGTCTCCGAAACAGTATAATAATACAATTTAATATCGCAACGATGCCAACGAGGCGTATATGACATACGTCAAGGTTACAATAATTCTCGTTCATGTATTTGGCAAACATTCAGAAAATAATGACGATCTTTGAACTTTAAAGAAATTTGAAATACAAAATGTGGGAAGGCAATAAACTACAACAGCTTTCCAGCGGGCCTATGTATATTCCTGTAAATAGAAATAAGTGAGAATCGTATTTTTGATTTATTTGAATATTCCGAAAAGGAATGTTCCGTCCTGTCTCCCTTCTACAACCTTATTAATTAATTAGAAATCGAAATCAGAATCCACTTCCCAGCGTACTCGTGTCTCTGAGGGCATACAACCTGATCCTATATACACATATTTATATAAGAGGGAGCACCTTCCAGATTTCGGGGCTTCGAGAGTGTGCAACTAATGCGGCTTCCGTTTGACGCCCGGCGCTGAAAGCTGAGCCCCAGCTGAAGTCCACTGAGTCAGCCGTCGTCGTCTTCATCCTGGTTCTTTTTTCAGTTCTTTTTTAATGATTCACATTCTTGAAAGCCGATTCTTCGAAAGCGAATTGGAGCCAGACCGAGAGAGCCTTGCCCCACGCCCTCGTCCCGCCCAAAAATGTCGGTTATGATTTACGGCCTGCCCACAGCCCTCATATTTTGAGTGTGTGTGTTTTTGTTTTTGACCACTGTCGTCCATTTGGTCCAAGGTGAGCGGGTTTCTCCTCCGCATTATTATTATTATTTTAATTATTCGCCGTTTTGTGTGTCATCAGCTTTGAATTGGCCGGTGGCCTGGAGGCCTTACTGCAGCCACTATTTGCGGATTGAATCGCGAACTGCGGTGACGACAACAGAAAATTCTTCTGATATGTCAAGAGAATGTTTAACATTTTCGCTAGAATTTCTATTTCGGGTGCGACTCGGTTTGGGGCCAGACCTTGACGGCAATGAGAACGGGGAAGATGGAAACAATTGTGATGGGGGAGAGGCGGATTGTTTGTTTAATTTGCTAAAATTCGTTTGCTAAAAATAGTTTTTTTTCGGGAGTCTTCATTATTTGTTTGGGCTACAAACTGATAAGGGGTTTTTTCTAGCGATAAGAAAGGTAAATGTACGTAATTGTCTCTTGAGGTGAAATCGATTTCCAAGGAAATTCAGACCACGCCACCCCCAAAAGGTATCTGTTATATGCAAATGTCAGGCAACAATTTTGCCTGGCAAAAGCCTAAATAGCCATTTGGTCGAGTGAAGTGGAGGACACTTTTTGCTGCCGTTGGCTGACTTTTTGCCGGCAGTGTGTGCTGCAGTGGAAAATGGCTAAGTGGGTCACAATTTGAGTTGATTTGTTTATGCCACAACAACAGGAGTGCGAAATTATTTATGATGGGGCAGCAGGAAGTTGTGGGACAGCTTTAATAGAGCAATTGTAAGGTTTTTTTCTACCTGATATATGTATGGGTTTCTACTAATACCTGCCATAGAATAACTTATAACCTTTGCTGAAGCAATTTGGAAATACTGGTCAGGCCTTCTGACCATAACTTGTAATTGAGTTAATTGCATAAATTCTTGTTTTTAGGATTTTTTTTTTTTCATTTTTCGCCAGCAGCTGCAAAATAAATTACTGAAATGTGTGTAAAACAAATTGCCAGAGATTCCATTACAAAATAACGGCAGACAGATATGCGCTTGAATAAAAAACAAATTTGGCTGCTACTTTATTAAAAAGGAATAAATATTCATTTGGTAATGCGGCGGGGCGATAAAGTCAATTGAAGCCTTTAAGAGAGAGCCCTTCCCAGGGCGTTGCCCCCATGGGAATGATCCATTAATCGAGCTAAACGTGAATCTCGACACTTGGCTGGCCACTCTCCCTGCTGTTATAATTCCGACAAAATGACCGAATGACAAACAGACACGCAAAAAGTGGAAAGATTTATTTGTTGCCATTGAAATTTATTGTTGCGACGGCGGAACACGATTTAAATATGTTCCGCTACAAGCACTCACTCACGACATTTGCTTTTTTATATCCATTAACAAATCGTTCCTAACCCACTCCGATCCGCCGGGATCTTTCGTATATCTATATATTTTGATTTTTTATTTTTATTTCGTTTTCTTGGCTTCCTCGTCTAACACTTGTCGTCTGACCGATTTCGGAACGTGCCTCAAAGTCATTCACATTGTGCTCTTTTTTTCGCAAATTATCTTTTGCTTTCCCGAGTTTTGTATTCATTCGGGACAGTGTTATTTTAATGCCATGAAGTGTGCGCATTATCTTATAATTTTCTGCCTCAAAAATACTGTCAAGTAGATTTAAGGAGCACTTCAAACCATTCTAAATAATAAACACCTCGACTTTTCCTTAATGCATCCTTCATAATCGGCTTCCCCTTAATATTCTCAGGTGTCAGGCCAAAGCGAGCTTAAATATTTCAAGTCCATTACAAAAGTGTCACAACATGTTGGGGTTTTGTGAGTTGAGTGAGCCGAGAACGCAAATTGGCTTACCGCAAGTCGACTCCTGACACTCCAACTCCCCCCAGCGGTCTGTGGTTCTTCAAAATACTGTAGGCGTTACGGTTTAGGTTTTTGGGCTACCCATTAAATATGCATAAATCGAAGAGGAAAAGCCGGAGCAGCAAGTAAAGAAGACGCTGCACTCCGAAGCGAGTGGGAGTTGCTCCATTCCATGCCACTCCATGCTGCATTCGCCACAGACGAGCATGAGTTAGCTTTTAAATAGTTAGTTAAGCGTTAAATTGACTCGGCGAAGGCATCAACTGGTCACATGTCAGACCCAATCCCTAGCCGCCTGGCTGCCTTGTTAATTGCATAATTAAGCGCAAAGTTGGTCTTGTCAGGGGTTCGGCCTACGCAGTCGCTGCTCCACATTTGCAAATACCCATGGACTCTGGACCCTGGACTGCCTGTTTCCAGCTTCACTTGAGTCTCGTCGACATGCCCGGCTAATGAGTCGCTGCTCCGAACCGATCCAATCCGAGGCAATCATTCATAGCCAGGAACTGGCCAATGCAGCGCAGATAACGCAGAATTTATAATTTGTGCCTGGCCAGTATCTTTTTGCATATTCATAAGTCCCAGGAGCCTGCACTCTCGCATGAACTTCGAGTCTCAGCTAGCCGAGATATATATATATTCACAACTAATTGAATGCTTCCCCGCGATATCTGATGGCTTTCCTTTTCTGCCGGCTCTGGTTTTCCTCCTCGACTTCTGTTTTCACGTCGCCTGGTGTAATCATTTTGTCCGCTGGATAAGATACATCGCAGTATTTGATATGCCATTTGGGATTGTCACTTGTCTTGGCGAGACTTCAAAATTAATTACTTTTATTGCGCTCGACTGGTCGACGAGTCAAGACAACTTTGCAAATCTGGCGTAGAATAATATGCAGATTGGGGATCAGCTTACAAATCACTTTGTAATAATGTCACAAAGATTCTTTTAAACTAAGAATTAACTTGGTACCTTATACGAACTTGTGAGTCTACAGATGCCAGACTTATAAAAATACCAAAAAAGCGAAAACGTTGTAACCTTTGGGGAAAAATGTAAAATGTTGGCAATAAAATTTTATGATCACCTAGCAACAGGCACGATTTGAGTCTGCAGAAGATGGAATTGGAGAATCTGAGACTGAAGAATCGGGGAGCAAGGGAGCAGGACACAAGAGCAGAGTCATGAAATTCATGAATGAATCAGGAAATCGTGTTGGCTTTCATCCTCCCTGCAAGCCGCCAAACTCTTGGCTCCTTTGGCTTTGGTTTTGGTGAGACAAGTTTGCTGGTGTTGCCAAGTCGGGAACACGTTCACTGTGGTCCAGACCCTGTTCCTGCCCGCGGCTCCTTCAGCACCGAAACCCCCCCATCCCGATGCCATCTGAGCATGCGTGACGTCTGTCAGCGGGCGACAGGAAGATGCCGCACAGGAAAAAATAAAAAAGCCAGACTCGGGCGTCTGTTTGCCAAGAAACCAAGAGACCAAGAAACATGTTTCCTTTTTTAGGGCCGGGGCTGACCCAAACTTGTTCCCAGGTTTGCTCCAAGCTGCAGTTGGTCCAGCCATCAGACCATCCGAAAACAGCCTTGGAGAAACAAGGAAGCTTCGTTCGTCAGTCAAGTGGATGCGGAGGGTTTCCAGCTGCTTTCACAATGGATGCACTTCAGTTGGCTTTCCATCTTTTTGTGTTCTGCACCCAAGTTGGCCCTGCAATTGCGACGGCAATTCTGCTACATTTCGATTGCGATTGAGAAAGGGGAGAACGCAGCATAATTGAGCATAAATAAATAAAATGCCTGGCAAAATATTGCATTTGCGATGGAAATGGCTGGCTGGCTGGTTGGTTAAAGAGTGGGAGGCTTTCTCTATTGTGCCGCGCTCAAGTGGCTCATTGAGTTGGCTCCTAGCCATCCATATCCAGATCCATCCACCAAGCAGCTATATACCAATTCATCTTGCATCCAGCGCGCCGGATGTTGGGCATCTCCATCTATCAGCTATTTGTGGTGCAACCTGCATCGTCTCGTTGCTGCCAGGTTTCTGCTTTTTTTTGCTGGCCTTATTTGTGTTGCATATTTAACAACAGTTTGGTTTTTGTCTGGGCATGTCAAATTCAAACTCCACTCCCAAAACTTTTGTGCAGGAAGTTATTGCGGTTGTGCAACAGTTAAGCTTGAAATGAGAAATTGCAGACTGGGCAGGGCAGCTGGGGACTGGAGTGAAAAATGGAAAAAGAAGTTTCACCAGGGAGGTGAACTATTTAAATAAATTTAAGTTATGTTGTGAAGAGCAGAGAGCAGTAATGTGTTTTACTCTTTTGAAAAGCACAGAGAGCTACGAAACGTTTAGCTGGTTTTTTGAGAAGCGCGGAGAGAGGCTGCTAACTTAAAGTTCAGCCTCGGATAACGAGATTCGCTTGAGAGTGCGATCATTCTTCTTTTGTTACCGAATCGCTTAGCACACGTCAAGGTCGAGTCAAAGCGCTAAGTGCCCTGCCGAATGCAGAAGGTCTTGACTAACTGGAGCTTCCACGGTGTCTGAGTCTTGAAGAAGTCTCAAAGGTGGTGGTGTGGAAGGCTAGTTCCCTGGGTGGAAATTACTGTACAACAAACAGCGGCACTGCGACCACATAAATCACACTTAAACGGCCCCAGTAAACCTCTTTATTTCCGCCCAACTCGGGATGTGCAGGTTGAGTGGGTGGTTGGTTTGGCTTTTGGGTTGGCAGCTCAATGCCAAACAGCCATAAACCGCACAAGAAAATTTACGTGGATTTGCCAGAGGATAAGGGAAAAGGCACTGCGAATGCAGTTTTCACTTAACGGCAAGGCAAGTGGCACATAAATTTCAGCAAGGACGCAAATACACTTCACCGGAAGGCAGGTGGTGGGTGGCTAGGTGGGTAGGTGGGTGGTGGGTGGAACAGCCTGACAGTAGCCGACATTTGCTGATAAGTGGACAAAATGTGCATCGCTCTGATTTGTCGCTTCTTCGCCGCTTTTTGGGCAAACAATCTTGGCAAATATTTGGTGGCAAGGGCACTCGAGTCGAGGCACCGTCGTCGAGGTCAACCGGTGCATGAAATTTCGAGGCAGGCAAAGCAGCTGCAGAGTGCAAAGCAGCTGCAAAAAAAAAAAGGCAGCCGAAATCAGGTCCTAAAAGATGGTTGAGTTGGCTTAAAACGCGGAGGGCAAGCGAAATAATTTCCACATTTTGGCTAAGCAAATACTCCATCTTAAATGTAAATCTTAAAAGTAAGCCTCTATCATCTCTTTTGCAGGTCACAAAACCATGAAGAAGTTTTGAGCACGGCTACCGAGACGCTTAAATAGCGTCCAGGATTTACGGTTGCTACTTCCTCCTCAACCAAAACCAGGATGATGCGACAGCAGCATTCCAGTTTGCGCCTGGCCATTGGCGGCCTGGTACTCCTCCTCTTTGTGCTCCATGTGCTCGGCAAGGAGCACGGATCGCATAGCCATGCCCACAAACGCAGCCATTCGGCCAAGAGATTCTCGCGGGACTCGAACTCGGCCCGTGAACGGCGACCGAACATAATACTCATTCTGACCGACGACCAGGATGTGGAGCTGGGCTCTTTAAACTTCATGCCGCGCACGCTGCGGCTCCTCAGAGATGGCGGCGCCGAGTTCCGACACGCCTACACCACCACGCCCATGTGCTGCCCGGCGAGATCGTCGCTGCTCACCGGCATGTATGTGCACAACCACATGGTGTTCACCAACAACGACAACTGCTCCAGTCCCCAGTGGCAGGCGACGCACGAGACGCGCTCCTATGCCACGTATCTCTCGAATGCCGGCTACCGCACGGGGTACTTTGGCAAGTATCTGAACAAGTACAATGGGTCCTACATACCGCCGGGGTGGCGGGAGTGGGGCGGACTGATCATGAACTCCAAGTACTACAACTACAGCATCAATCTGAACGGGCAGAAGATCAAGCATGGCTTTGATTATGCCAAAGATTATTATCCCGATCTGATAGCCAACGACTCGATCGCCTTTCTGCGCTCCTCCAAGCAGCAGAACCAGCGGAAGCCCGTCCTGCTCACCATGAGCTTCCCGGCTCCCCACGGTCCCGAGGATTCTGCTCCGCAGTACAGCCATTTGTTCTTCAATGTGACCACCCACCAGTGAGTATTTCTATATTCCTTATTATTGTTTTATTAAATTATGCAGAAAGTAATGGAGGTCCCATGACGAAACTTTCAGAAATAGAACATTATACTAATTTTTTATAAAGATTAAAAATGCCGATTTGCAGAAATTGAAGTTTGGACTATATTTTGCACTGGAACCATTATGGGTGTTATTTTTATCTGAAAGCTTGGCAAAAAAAATAGTTTTTGGGTATTTTTACATATATTTTACCCCACGTAATTTAAAATTATAAATGAATTAAACAAAAAAATAGCATAGCCATATTCGCTTCTGTAAAATTGATTTTTTTTTAACTTTTTTAAAAATTCTTTTTAATGGTGTGATATTGTCATAAAAATTAGATATCGTTTAGAGACCGTAAAGAAAATCTCGATATATATATTTATATAAATATATCTTTTAATATAATTTAATAAATACCTACAGCACCCCATCCTATGACCATGCTCCCAATCCGGACAAGCAGTGGATCCTAAGGGTCACCGAACCCATGCAGCCCGTGCACAAACGGTTCACCAATCTGCTGATGACCAAGCGACTGCAGACACTCCAAAGCGTCGATGTGGCCGTGGAGCGGGTCTACAACGAGCTGAAGGAACTCGGGGAGCTGGACAACACGTATATCGTTTACACCTCGGATCACGGCTATCATCTGGGCCAGTTTGGTCTGATAAAGGGCAAGAGCTTTCCCTTCGAGTTCGATGTGCGAGTGCCGTTCCTCATCCGTGGACCGGGCATTCAGGCCTCCAAGGTGTAAGTGGTTTTAAAGAGAAAGTTATATATCTATTAATTAAATATATACCCCCGCAGGGTAAATGAAATTGTGCTGAATGTGGACCTGGCGCCCACCTTCCTGGACATGGGTGGCGTGCCTACGCCGCAGCACATGGATGGACGCAGCATACTGCCCCTGCTGTTGAGCAGGAACCGCGCTGTGCGGGACAACTGGCCCGATAGCTTCCTCATCGAAAGTTCCGGTAGGAGGGAAACGGCCGAGCAGATAGCCGAGTCACGAGCCCGCCTCCAAATCGAAAGGCGAAACATGAAGCTGGTGAACAGTTCGCTGCTTGAGGACTTCCTCGATGGAACCAGTGAAAGCAGCACCACCATTTCGAGTAGCAGCACTAGCAGCACTGCCGCCACCTTGATGAGTTCCACCAGCCATCAGTTGGAAGAGGATGAGGAGGATACGGACAATGAGGAGGATGATGCCATGGACAGTTCGGCAGCTGCCCTGGAAGACGATGATCTCGAGGATGCTGCTGCGGAGGAGGCCGACGAGGAGCTGGTCGATCAAGAGTTCCAGCAGAACAACGATCTTCCCCTGGCCCCCTACATCACCAAGATGATGCGCCTCAACTCGGAGTGCTCCGATCCGGCCCTGCTTAAGAACTGCCTGCCGGGTCAGAAGTGGAAGTGCGTCAATGAGGAGGGACGTTGGCGCAAGCACAAGTGCAAGTTCCATGTGGGTAGCAAGTAATTCCTATAGTTAACACTCTATTAATGAATCGAATTTCAGCTTCAGTTGGAACATCAGCTAGCTACAATGCCACGGAAGCAGTATCAACGCAACTGCGCCTGCTTCACACCCGACGGAGTGGTCTACACCAAGATCCGCGCCCCATCCGCCGGTTTGCATCGCGTGAACAAGCGGGGTCATCATGGTCAAGGACGTAGGCGAAACAAGCGGGAGGTTTACCACACCGATTTACCAGACGAAATGGAGGAACTGCTGGATCTCCACCAGACCATAGATCACATGACAGATCTGCATCGCAGCAAGCGGGATTTGTCGGGAAGTAGCAACGAGACGATTGCCCAGGTCATCCAGCAGATACAAGCCACTCTGGAGATCCTGGAGCTCAAGTTCAATGAGCACGAGCTGCACGGTTCCAATTCGAGTACTAATTCCTTTGAGCGAGGCGAAAAGTATTCAAAGTCTGGCGGTCATCGCTGCTTTGTAGATGCATCCACGGGTAAAGTGAACTGCTCCAATGTGATCTACGACGACGAGAAGACGTGGCGGACCTCGCGAACCCAGATCGATATGCTGATCAAGCTGCTGAAGGACAAGATTGGCAAGCTCAAGGAGATGAAGAAGCAGCTGAGGGAGAGCAACAAGCAGGCATTGGCGGCTAGCCGAAGGAATGATGGCCGACGGCGTAATGATCCCATAGGGCTAGACGGTGGAGCCGGACCAGAGTTCAACATGAGCTACTTCACCGAAACGGGCAGCACTCCAAGGTCGAACGTTGGCCAGAAGGAGGTGTTCCCGGGATATGGAAGTACCAACGTCTTTGATTCAGTGGAGCAATCGCAGTCGCATCGCTTTGCCCCGCGAGCCGAGTGCTATTGTGAGCCTGATGTGGGCGAGAGGTAAGTGGTTTCGGTCTGGAAAGGGTGTTCCTAACTAATCTCTCACCTCTTTACCAGCCATGCGGACTCCAAGGAAATGGCCCGCGAGGCGCGCAGGAAGCTGAAGGAGGAGCGGCAGCGCAAGAAGGAGCGAAAGCGCATCAAGAAGGCGCGTCTGGAGAAGGAGTGCCTGTCCGAGAAGATGAACTGCTTCTCGCACGACAATCAGCACTGGCGCACGGCTCCCCTGTGGAACGACAGTCCCTTCTGCTTCTGCATGAACGCCAACAACAATACCTACTCCTGCCTAAGGACCATCAATGCCACCCACAACTATCTGTACTGCGAGTTTACCACTGGCCTGATTACCTTCTATAACTTGACTATAGGTAGGGGAAAAACTTTTGCATTACTATTTTTGTTTTATTATAATTCATTGTAAAAACTTTTGCAATACTATTTATACTCCAATACTCCTAGAGTAAAAGGGTATATTGTATTCGTGCAAAAGTATGTAACGTGTATATCCTGTCTGTTGTCCGTATGAACGCTGAGATCTCGGAAACTACAAAAGATAGAAGGTTGAGATTTCCCACACATATTCTTGGGCTTCCTGCGCAGCGCAAGTTTATTTCAGCCCTGCGCCACGCCCCCTCTAATGCCCACAGTCGCCCATAATTTTAAAATGTGTCTAGCGCCCAAACCTTTAAAGATTACCGAGAAGTATAAATTCAATTTTGTTGTGTATATTTATAACTATCGAAATGTAGAAGACATTTTTCAAATCGGACCATTCATTAAAAAGTTATGCGTAATCAAAAAATATTATATATCCATCTCCCTCACACTCCCTTTAGCTGAGTGACGGGTATTAGATAGTCGGGACACGAACCCGACTATAGCGTTCTCTCTTGTTTTTAATATAATTCATTGTATTTCCTTTCCTTCAAGATCGCTTCGAAACGACAAATCGCGCAGCAAGCCTAACGCCTGGCGAGAGATCCCACATGCACGATGCCCTCCAGCAGCTGAAGGGCTGTCGAGGACGCAGCTGCAGCATCCGCCGACACCAGTCCCACCTGGAGAGCGGTTCCAGTGCTCCGCTGCTGCCCATCAATCAAGTGCACCGCAACAACAAACGAAAGCACTGTAAGGTTCCTAGCTTATAAAGTTGATTAAGTATTCGCAATTTCCTGTTCCGCCAATCCTTGCAGCTCCCCTCGCGGGATCAGTGGGAAACTATGCCTTTGTAGGGCCCCGACTGGACCTGGACGGACTGCCTCCGATGAAGCGGCGCAAGCTATCCAAATACAACAGGTGAGTGATGTCGGTTAGAGCAGACTGAATTAATGGTCCAACTCCTAACTCCTTTTTCAAACGTTTCCAGATTGACTGGTTCGCAGCAGTCGCACATGAAGCGGCGTCCCTGGAATCAGCAGCCCCTGCAGCAGTCGCCCAGATTCTTGCCCACGCATTCTGTGACTCCATCCGCGGCCTAGAGATACAGCTGGATCGAGTGACCGACACCACACACATATCCTATGCGTACCTTTTGTACCTTGCTTGCCTGACCCCGCTCCTTGGTTCGCCCCATTGGATTTCTTCATACATAAATAAGACTGTGTTTTAATCTATCTACTTATGTTTAGATTTGTTTATTCAAACTGTGTGTAGTCCAGTCCTTGATACATTTGGCTTGCAATATTTATAGTTAGAGCTGAACACTTGAATTAGCTCTTAGGCCACCTAATTTGTACATAAATTTAGTACCGAAATTCTACGTAAACTAAATAAATTATTTAGCGAATTGGTTACAAGTTAAATTAGTTGAGTATACGTAGCAAGGAGTTTTAATAATTCTAGCGAATCCAAATGAAATTGTATTTATTGGCCAATGCTAAAGGAACAATGTTAATGTGTATTAGAGACTAAAACCATATTTATGCCGATCTAGATACGTTGTAATTGTTAAGTACCCCAACCCACACCCAAATTCCCAAAGACGTTATGTAGCAGCCCCGCTTGAAATCGAACAAATATATTGTATCTGCCACGTTATTAATGTCATAAAATTAACTTAAAATTAATATATAAAATCAATTATAAAAAAAGCATCAAATTAAATTGCGAATAATAAACTTTTATCACAAATATATATTTCTGGAAGAAATTATTGAAAAAATTAAATGAACATACTTTCAGGCTGAACGGAATTCTTCCGAATTCTACAATTGTAGAGTTCTTTTTACACGAAGTTTCCAAGTGAATTTTTCAGCAGTATTACTGAAAAACTAGTTATTGTTAACGTTCATAAAAATATTTATAGTTTTACTAAAATTAACTTCCCCTTTTCAAAATCTTAAGCACCCTCTTGGTAACAATTAGTAGAAAGGGTTTTAATTCTTCTAATCCGATAATACAAACTCGGAAATTACGTTTACTCACTACCGGTTATCAGAACCTCAGTCAGAACATAAAAGTTATATTTTTTGTCCACATCTTTTGTTTAGGCTATCGCATACCAGTGTTTTATATGATTTACTGCAGGCACTCTTCTAGTATATTTGGTTCAAGAGCTCGAGTTCAAATGATAATATTGCCTATCAGGCAAGAATATTAGAGATTACCTGTTCCGTTTGCCGTTAAGCCTTTAGCCCCGCGATTTTGCAACACTTTAAGGTGTGTGCACTCCGCTGAGATAGTCTTGATAACATCTGGAGACGGATAGCGGAGAGAGCGTGGCGTGGGGAGACCCGATAAGGTGAGTTCCGTTGGAAACAGCTGGGTGGGGTTCGGGGTCTTTTCGGTATCAGTGTCATCAGCATCTTAGGGATCGGTATGGGGTCGGTATGGGGATCGGTATGGAGATCGGTATGGGCATCGGCAACAGCAGATGTAAATAAGATCACCCGAGGGCGCTAATTAAGCCACCGAGATGTTTTCATCGGCTGTCAGGCGTGTTTACCGCCTGGCAAATTCACACTTGACACTTGACGCGCTAATTTCCGCTGCAACACGGGCCTTTTGGGGTTCGGTGGGGGGTAAAAACGGAGATGTTGGGCTGGCTGCCAGTTTGGCTCGAGCGGAGAACATTCGCTTATCTTGGTTATCAAAAAAAAACACACAGAGAGATAGTGGTCCGGTGAGAAAGAGCAGCGGGGCCAACCCAAAACCGGTCGGCGCATTTTGTGGAGATATCGTGTTAAAAATTTACGCAAGCAATGAAGCTATCAGTTGGAAATTGTATTTATTGTGGCCTATGCGACAAAAACAACGCGATCACATGATGAATACGGCTCATAGACCTGGCAACAAGGCCTCGTCCACCAGTCCAGACCACTTTACGATTCGCAAACCGCTGTTGAGATATCGTGCTGAAATTTCACAATGCCGAGAATCGCGTCCCAAACGGGGCCTGGCTGCAATCTGATTGGGGCGAACTTTATGCCCAGGCACGTATTCCGCTTTATGGCGGGTATTCTAAAAAATTCGTGAAAGCAATCAAACTTTAGAATTCAACTTCAAGCCAGTTTAGAATGCCACAAATATGTTTGCAACACGTTTAGACAGCTTGTTCTGAGTTTTATAAGCTCAATAAGTTAACAAACACTCTCCTTAGGTATATTTAAATATTTTATTAATTAAGTGAAATTTATCAATCTGATTAGCGCAAATAAAGATCTCTTGACTTTGTTAAATGTATATTATATATGTGTAAATACTAAATTGTGCAAAATGGATTTGAATGATTTGAAAGCAACATTGGAAAACTTTTTCTATATCACTTATACCCATCTAATAGACATGTTGACTTACTCGAAAACAATTTACTTTCAAAACTTTTAATATTCTGTTGGATTCCTTCTTTAGCTCTTACAAGTTCCTTTTAAAAATGCTCAAAAGTTAATTATATTTGTTTACATTTCATGTATACAATTTTAAAAACTATTTTTCCGGAAATAATTTGATTGGCTTTACACTAAGTTTTATGTTTATGAGTGTGGGCGGCGTGGGCTACTGAAAGCAGATAACAGTAATAGCAAAACTCATTAAAAACTCGAACTCCGAGTGCTAAGTTCAAGTAAAGAAATTTGAGCAACAGGAAACCCACTCTTTATATTGGACCTCTTAAAAAGATAAAAAAAATCCCATAACTAATTAATGATAATAATGATATTATTATATATAATTTGTTTTTAATTTTACTATTTTTACAGTTTATTTCTACATAAATACATATACAATTAATTAGATCAAATTTCTGCTGGGCAGTTTAAAATCTAGGCGTCCTTCTTGGGATGTGCTTCAAGCAGCTTTTGGGTGACCTGCCGCAGGAGTTGCAGCTGCTGTTCGTAGTTGTGGACAGTGGCCAGCTCCTCGGCGTGGTTGTGGTGATGGGGCGGGTGATCGTGGTCGTGCCCATGGTCGTGGGCGTGTCCCGACCTGGTCTCAGTCTCTTGGTGATCGTGTGCGTCCTCCTCCGACGACGACGAGCAGCTGCTGTGGCTGTGGCTATGACCATGTCCGCCACTGGAAGCTGTAACGAAAAAGGGTGAAACTCGGTTAATAATACGATCAATTGAAAAATCTAGACTGCTAAGTATGCCAATCCTTATCGGGCAGACCCTATTTCCTCACGATGATTTACACCTTGTTGTACTCTGATTGCTAAACCTTTTTCGTCATGGTAGCTTGGAAAGTCGTTGCCGCTGGAACGCATTTCAATCACCTCGATCTAGGCAATGATTTATGGACGTTTTGGTCCCCGCCCTTATCTAGCCCATATATTTACTTATCCGACTTTCGGTTAATCACATTTTTTGTGGCGTAAACGTTTTTTCCTAAATTTATATCCCGTGCTCATCGCGCGTACGAATTTGAATGATGTTTCTCGCGGTGCTTTTTCGCATGGGCAACCCCCGGATTTTGAGCAAGATGACTTCATGGCAGGGACGGGATTTTGTATTTGTTTGCTAGGTACACAGACACAGACTCACCGTCTCTTGGCTGTGGGTATGCAAAATAAATCGCAGCAAGGTCTGTTACAAGGCCAACCACGCAGTGTCCAGCGGATCGGCTATATAGAACCTGTTCCCAATTCACCCGAATCGATTCCGGTTGAAGAATCTCTCGACTGACAAACCCGGTGACTGTCGCACTAATTGCCCCCAAAGCCTGGTAACTAAATTATCAGCAAATACATGAAAGGATTAAATCGACAATCAAGCTAAGCTGTCTAGAGATTTAATAAATATATACATGTAAATGAATTGAAGTACCTATATATTAAACCTGATTTTTTGTTTATAAATTGGCACTAATTTTCTGCGGTTGTAAGTTTAGGTAATAAGAAAAGCCCATAAAAGTGTTGACAACTCACAGCTAAAATAACCGTAAATTTTCCAAGGGTCGTATAAGTTATAACAAGTAAATTGAATATTCAAAACCCTTTTCTCCCCTTTTCTCCTAAAAGAGATAATACTTACTCAACTGCTGAAGGCCGAACATGACCAGGAAGCCAACGAATAGGGCCAAATAGGCGCGCAGACCGGATCGATTCTTCGAGAGGATCTCGAAGAAAACCACGTAGATGAGCGTGCCGCAGGCGAAGCCCTGCAGGATGGCCGAGATCAGGCTGGGACCGGTGGTCTCCTGGCCGTGATTGATCAGGATCCCGATGCCGATGCCCAGCGGGCTGACCACGGCAAAGGTCAGCACATAGAGCACGGCCAGGGTCATCCGGGTGCGGGCCACGATCAGCTCGACTCCGACGCAAAAGGCCAGGACCAGTTTGTGGGCGGAAACGGCGCCGAACATGAACCACACCGAGCTGGCGGAGCTCTCCAGGCCAATGGCCATGCCCTCGAAGAGTTCGTGCAGCGACAGGGCGGAAACGATGAAGAGTCCGCGCAGCGAAGAGGCCAGCATGTCCCCGGCGGAGGCATCATCCGCGATCACTGGCAGGTGGCTATGACCATGACCATGACCATGACTATGGCCGTGTCCATGGCCATTCGCCTGGCTCTGTGGCTTGGCAGCTTGGAACTTCTGCTGCTCCAGGTCGCTCTGCAGGAGATTCTGCACCGAGAGCGTTCCCAGCTCAGATGGCGGTGGTGGTGCCGAGGGTGCGGTGGTGGTGGTGTTGCCCTCGCTGGTGGGTTTCAGCAGGTGACTATTCCGTATGCTGTGACCCCGCTCGAAGGCGGCGCCCGCCTCATCCTTCTGGTGATGATGGACATAGGTGTGCATGGCCTCTTCGATAAAGTACATGAGAAAGAAGCCGCAGCACATGAGCAGCTCGGCCAGCGGAAAGGTTAGCTCACCGACGATGCCGCACTCTTGCAGCTCCTCGACGACCTCCTGAACCTCCGGGAGCAGATGCAGAAAGGTGGTGGCCAACAGGACTCCACCACCAAAGTACAGCAGACACTTGACCACAATGGCGGAGCGGGCATTCGTCTGGTTCTCCGTCCAGCGGTAGCAGCGGTTCAGCAGGAAGGGAATGGAGCCGCAGATGGCGCTGGCGCAGAATAGAACCACCATGGCGGTGACCTTGGCCACCAGCACCCCACTCCCATCCTCATCCTCCTCGTCATCATGGTCGTGATCGTGATCGTCGTGCTCCTCCCCCTCGTGACGTGAGGTCCAATGGCCGGCGGCGGGCTCATCGATTTGCAGGAAGCACTTGAGAAAATTATTCACTTGCGTTTGATTCATGCTTTTGCTTTGTTTTGTTTGCGATTTTCGAATCAACTCTTTTTGTTTGGTTTTCCACCGATCGATCGATCGATCTCTCGAAGCAGCTAAAACACTCCAGACTTCCTCTCGGCCCACTTGTGGCCAAAACAAAAAGCAACTCTCTTGGCTAAAACAGCAGCATGTGTGTTGCGCTCGGAATCTCAATGGGCTGGGTTGTTGTGGGTTGGGTTGGGCTCATCTGGTTGGGCTGGGTTCTGCACTTGCATACCGCTTAACTTTTCACTTTTTTCTCAGCCACTTTTCTTTCACTTTGGCTAAGAGTTAAGAGCCTGCTAATAGGTATTACTGGTAGTTATTTATTTATATTTTTTTAGCAGCTCACAGGTGTTGAACGCTTGAGGCGAACTCGCAGACTGACGGAGTGGGGATTTGGTAGTTCGCTTGGTAGACCCAATGCTCAGTGCTCCGTGCTCCCACTAACGAAGACCAGCAGACGTGAGCAGCAGGTTAAGCAGGTAAGACACAGAAACCGCTCTTAAAGCTCTCGCTCTCTCCCACACGCGAGCGTTCACCTGTTCACTTTGGCAATAGCGCTAAGCTAATTATCTTGGGCCCAGCATAAACATACAGATTTATGTGTGTATATATTAGACACACAATGCACAAAGGCCAGAGCAATTGAGTAATTGCATCCGTTCACTTTGGAGCATTAAAGGCGCCTGACCTTAGCCAAGATGTAGGATAGATCGCGACTTTTACTTTGCCGCCACTTTGGGTGGCCGGAAGCAAAAGCTCGCTGGTTGAGTGGTTCGCGTCCCGGCTAATTGGTAAGACATATAACTAACGGTTTTCGGTTTGTAAGCCTTTTTCAGGGTTGCCAACACTTCCGGTTGAAATCAAAATTAAAGGGAGAATATACTAATTTGAGCAAAAAAAAAAAACTTAACTTTATAAACTTTATAAAATAAAAACTTAAAAAGTTTTTGAATATTTTGACAATTACAAGACTAACCGTTATATCCGTTATTGGCTTCCTCAAAAGCTGTAAATCCATTGACGTGAAACAAGGCGCCGGCTGCAATTTACTAACGTTTGTGAAATGAGCAGCTAACATATCCGATGGGAGCGTGGACGGATCGTGAGGTGACTGTTAAGAGGCACATGATCTATCAATTAGTATAATCAACCACAACGTAATTGGTCTAATTCTTTTGTTTTTTCTGCAAAGCCTATTAATTTATCATAATTTCTTTAACAATAAATATTTCCATTAGCTTAAGTAGCTTTCCAAAAATGTGCGAAAACAAAAGCTTTTTTCAATAATTTTTCATTTATTTTGGTTTCAATTTTTTCTTGTTTTTTTTTTATTTTCATATTTTTTGTTCGTTCTTTTGTTGGTTGTTTTTCTTCTTGTTTTGCTTACATCGTTTTAAGTTATCATTTGTTGTTGCTGTTATACTTATACATTAATAATAAATCATTTTTTACACAATATTTCTGTTGTTATTTTACTTTATTCGCGTTCGCAACCGATATAATGCCTACAACACTCCTGTTGGAAAATATTTCTGAGTACTTCTTCACTCGCGTTATTTTTATTATTTTTTCGCTCTATTAGAATTAAATTGTTTCGATTTACTTTTGTGTTAAAACTGCTTTGCCGCAGTTAACAATGTTAACTGCTATACCTGCAAATAGCAAAAGGCCTGCGTGCATTGCTTGCTTGCCAACCATTAAACGCTTTATCTTTGTTATCTTCGATCCGCTCTTTCTCTGTCGCAAATATGTAAATTTCCTTTCTTGAATACATAAATTAATGCATGGGTTATTTTTGTTTTTTTTTTTTTGTTTATCAACATTTAAAGTACATTAATGTATGTATAATTTTTTATATTTTACTTTGTATAAACTAGTGCGGTTTTGTTTTCGGATTCCTTTTTCGTCATAGAAATATCAATTTTAGCGTAATTTGTTTGTGTATCTTTAATATTTCATATATTATACAAATGAGTTTTTTAACTATACAGGAAATTTGGGTTAATTGTATATGCAATGTTATCATGTAAAATTTGAAATTTGATTTGCAGTTTTTAAGGTTTTTATTTTGCTGGTTTTATATGCTAGAAAGATTGCAAAAAAACACGATAGATTTGCATTGTTCTTGTATAGTTAATGCTATTCTTGTTTTCCTTGTTATATGTATATTTGTAATAAGTATAAAAATTTGTTTAAAATATATATTCCACATACGATTTATTGATTTTAGCGCATTACTCTTCTCGTTTCATGGAGGTGTGTAGAGGAAAATCAAATTCGTTCAGAGTCGGAGATGTGTGTTTTTGGGAAGGGAGAAGTGGGGAATAGCTGCAGGCAACTTTCTTAGTAGTTTAGTACTCATATCACGTAATATCAAAGAAATGGCTCAGTACATTAGTATTTACCTATCAAGTGATTGATCTGTGCGGAAACTTGTGGAGTTCCGTTAAAAATGTATTCCGCTAACTTCGCACATCATAAACGAAAAATTACCTAGGAAACGATTCAAAAATAAATGCTCCAAATGAATTCGACTACCAAAAGGGATTTCTACATTTTGATTTATCCGATACATAGACGTGTATATATATCAAAATACTTGTGTGTATATATGTACATATTAGCATTAGAAAAGTGCATTCAAAACAGAGCTAAACCAAGCTGCCTACTGCCGAGTGACGATTCATACAAGTATACTGTATATCTGATACATCATATAGCTGCATACATACACAGCCATTATCAGACAAATAGCAAAAATTTATAACAGGAAAATCAGCACATTTTGTTTTCTACAGGTGGTTGCGAACAACAATACATTGACAGTATTAATTATAACATTTTCAAGCATTTACGTTGATAAAAACATGTTAAAACCAATAGAAGTTGTTAAAACAGTGAAAGTAATTCACAACAATATAACATTTTTGTAAACAGCGTTCTTTCCTAAAACAACAGATATTACCTTCGGGTTCTAAGCCCAAAACAATGGCGATACGTCTTCCCTTCACGCTGCTGTCTTTTTCTAAACCAAATTTGTCTAAACAGTAATATTCTGTTCTCTTTTATCATTTTTAATTTTTTCCGTTTGGAAGCATGGTTTTCACAATAGATCTTCTATGGAAGTTTTAGTGTTTTGTAGACAAACTGAAAGTTAATCGAAGAAGAATGACCAATGTAAAAGAATGATGATGTCCTTGATTGCGATAATGGTTTGCTATTTGTCTGACAAAGGTACACGTATCATGTTTAAGTTGGTTTCATATAGCTGCATACATACATATATTTATTTTAAATAGTTTTAAAAAATGATGTTTATTTTCGCTTTCTTTTCTTTCATTATAATTTACAAGTTTGTTGGTTGCGTATAAATATGTTTTCTTCTTTCTCTCATTAAATGATGCTGCACTAGTTTTGTTTTCGTCTCTTTTAATATATGTTTATAATATATAAATATGCTTTAAGTGGTTTTTGTGTGTTTAAGTTTCCTTCAGTTAAGAGCAATAGGGTTCTGAGGGGGTTGTGGTATTGGTAGTGGTTTTGGGGAGCTTTTTTCTTTCCGAATTCCTTCACAAGACACCGACGACGGGAGGAGCTGCCTAGGTTGTGAGTGATTCTTGCTTGAATTTGCCGTGTGTCATTTCTAGTCGGTTTGAATTACGTTTGAATTTTGTTTTCTTTTTTATTTATAATAGCATTAATTAATAATATAATTAATAATTATAATAATTTATATAATAAACGCAAAATTGGTAAATAATAAAAATAATAATAAAATACAATCATTACAATAATTAATCAAAATTGGTTTCATTTTGTTTGTTTTTACTGTTTTTAGTGTATTTAATGTTTACGGGGGTTCTTTTGTTTTTGTTTTCTTGTTGGGTTTCGTTTTGTTTGATTTAATATATTTTTTTTGTTGCTTTTTGCATTTTGCATCTGGCTTTATATTTATATAAATTACAACGGAAGTGTCGGTGTGTTTGTAGTTGGTGTTGGCGTCAGCATCGACGCGGATGGAGGATAACGCAACGTGTGCTGCGACGTTGCCTGCTGGATATAATCCTGACTCGGATTATTCAATACGCTATCCCGTGAGTTTGAATGTGAAGTGGCGCGCAGCAGGGTGACTGCCTCGCGTTCTGGACTACATTGTACACCGTCTAGTCATTTTTGGCGCGTCGATTTCTTCTTCTTTCGTTTAAAGAAACAACAACATCTGGAATATAAGGAACCACTGGAGACAGTTAACCAAGGGACAGAAACGAGACGGATACGGATTCGGATACGGATTCAGAGGGGGAGACGTAGGCAGAGGCAGAGGCAGTGGAGTGGTCGGGGGAGAGAGAGAAAGAGAGAACGGAAAACGGAAGTTGCGCATTAAAAACGACAAAGCAAAAAATTCACTAAATATCTAGAGGATCTGTTAATCAATGTATCGATATATCTATCTAATATTTGTGTTATATACCTGCTCATCTGATATGCTAAATTGAACTATCAGTTATAAATTCATTATTTTTTTCCTGCTTCTTCGTCTTTAACAATTTGGAAAGACATATATATGATTTTAAAAAGAATTATTTAAAACATAAATTTAATTACAAATAGTATCACAATTAAAGACATCTGCTCAACATCTCCTAATCTATATCCATACCTATTAGGCGGCCCATTAGTTTTTTACACCCCAGAATCCACAAATAAATTTATTTGGTACATGGTTTTGTCTAAACATAAATCGATCTATTTCGCAACACGTCTATCAGGTAAGCTACATATCGATATACCGATTAATTGATCGCCTGAGTAACACATACTTTGTTTCATCGACCACTTCGACTTCCGGCTGCTGTGTGATGGGCGTGTTTGAGTGTCCGGCCGTGGGATCGTCCGGATTTAGTTCGCCATTCGTCGAACTCACAACCTGCAAATGAATAACATAGAACAAAGAAAAAGAATGGATAAAATTGTAGTATTAGACTCCACTAGCCATCAACTTTTGTACTAAACATATAGTACGAGTATATACAGTAAGTAGTGATTAAACATAATTGAACGATATACACCGCTTTCTTTTTTTTCACTAATCAAAAATGAAACAGTTAAAATACAAAAACTATCGATTGGAATGGCGGTACAGACATCACACATAACGAAACTGTTATACACAATAAGGACTATTTCGGCAGTACTACAAATCCAAGAGGACTACGAATGAAAAATTTTTATATTTGGTATTCTCAATGCCTTTGCAAATCAATATGCTTTAATATAGATTCCTTGCGCCCAACCTAGAACGGAGATTGCCTGGATTGTCAGGACTCGTTTGCAGATCACACACGCACATATAGATGTTGTATGGGTACAGGACACGCACTGACAAATGTGAGGTTCGGAGGACTAGGACAGACAGTTTATAAACCAAATACCTTGCGGTAGTGTTGTAAAACGCAAATAAAAGGAAAGGAATTCGTTTTGGCTATGTCGAAGGATAATGTCGTTTAGATTTTAGTAGAAGCCGTGGCTGTAGTATTAGAAAGAAGAATAGTAGTGTTGGGTAGGTCGTTGTTTTGGTGTCTTATTTCTTAGGGTCGTCTTCAGGGTCGCTTTTCTCATAGTAAGCATCAAAGGGGCTATCATCATCCGAGCTCGAATCTTCAGGCAATCTCTGTAATAAGTTGTGTTTTGGATTCGACTTTGATTCGATACATCAAAAGTGGTCTTTCCGACTCGTAAGGCATGCCAATGGGGTCGCTTTATGAGAAATGAAGTTCCTCCAGCCGAATTCTTAAAATTGTAGATCTACGACTGCGGGTGTGTGTTATGTGGTCCATGCTTTTCTAGAGTAGTGAATGTCTTTGTGTTGCATGCAGTCAGGTACAGTTACGTCTAGACTAGTGTTGGTTAATGCACAGCTGAACACATGCATTTAGTACCGTGCACAAAAAGAGAAAGGCTACGTTTCTTCTTCGTCTCTCATGCAGTTTTATATTAGGATCCTCTAGCATCAATCAGTTTCACTATTTTCGAAGGAAAACTCTAGGCTCAAAAAATAAAATAGGAAGATCCGAGAAAAAATACCCCAGAAGAGAACTAACAAAACGTGTTGAAGAAACAAAATCAAACCGAACGGAAGTGGAATAAACTATAGTGGAGAGGAGTAGGAATAACACACGTTGGGAGGAGAGATTATTGTTCAGTACCTTGTTGAGCTAATGTAGAGTAAATCAAGTGAAAACATTAGAATTGAAAAGGCCAAAAATATAACAGTCTGCGATAGATAATGTTTCGTTGTAATAATTATAGGAAATATATATAGGCAATTATGTACAAAATCACAATCGAACAAGAATTCAATAACATAATGAGGCGAATACAAATGTGATTTATTTATATTTATGCTATGTCTTAACCACGAGCTGGATTGCTATGAGTTTTTCTTGTAGTTCATGTATTTACAATTATAGACTGAAGACTGAGCGGGCGAGCGAGCGACAAAATGAAAATTAAACGGAACGGAAGGAAAAGAAAACTGTTGTACAACACTGGCCGGTTGTCGCAGCAAACTTACCTGCACTGAACCATGCCGATCGGCCGGCGTTAGATTGCCCAGTGTTGCCCCCGGCTTTGGCACATCAGGCCACGCAGCAACACCTCCTTTGGCATTTGTCTGTGGTTGGGCGGGTTATGGTGGTGGTTGAAGTGGTGGTGAAGGATTTGGACAGTTGGTTTTGATTATTTTTTGTTTTGTTTTTGATTGGGTACAGTTCAGTTCGGTTTGCGAGCAATTGTTGGAAACGGATTTATGCAAATTTATCAATAATTAATTTTAGTTTTTAAAAATGTTTTATTTTTGTACAACATAGAGACAGACAGCTCTAATATTATATGCGAGTGTGTTTAATTTAGGGAGTGTGTGTGTGAGTCTAAACAAAACTAAAGCAAGTCAAGAATGTGCTACAGTAGTACAACCAAAAGAAAAATCCTTACGGTAGACAATTAAAGCCAAAAATAAATCAATAGAATAACCAAGGGCAGAGTTAGCGCAGATTAGACCAAGTTATAACTAAATTACTTTACGAGTCCCGTTAACCGATGGATTGCAAGCATTTCTGTGCAATTTTAAAACTAAGTTAGTCGAGCTCCTACAAGTAACAGATTCGTATGATATCGATTTCCAGATAATAGGCAAACCACAGTTTTAACAAAGAAAAAACCCAAAGTGTAAAAGCCATCTATTTTTTTAGCCATGTAGGCTACAGCCAGACACGTGTGTGAGTACAAAGAGTAGAAGAGCACTTTAGTCACACTAACCAGTACAGAGATATTTTTCAAGTCTACAACGTCTAACCTGAAGTATTATATATTCTTCATTCTCATTATCAACTTCGTCATCAAAATCAAAATAAGAAACATCCTATAGTTTTATATCAATTATATTGTGTGGAAGGAAGAAGAGTAGGATCAAAACAAAAGCGTTGAGCATAAGTAGAGAAAGAAGAGCAGTTAAAAACGAATGTTAGAAGTAACAAACTGAGTAAAGTAACCAAAGAGAAAAAAGGTTAGCTAAGGCTAAGTTGAAACAAGGATAACTGTTTTGTATCTTATAAACATTAATAAAACGTATTCGAGTTAAATTTTGTCAGTGATAGAGAGTAGAAATTTGTTTCCTTTTCGGACTGCGATAGTTAAACATTGCAATATTGTATACTTTACCTTAGCCGTAACATTATGACGATCTTTATTTGGTGAAATGATGACTTCATGGCCAGTTTGCAGAGATCCGACGGGCGTTGACTGTTTTATGTCAGTGATGTGAATGCATTTTGTTTTTAATTTGATAACATATGTTTATATATAGATGATGCAGTAGTTTGTTTTAAAAACACACAGAGTTACACGCACATGAAACGGTGTTGACAACCGAAAAAAGAGAAAAGAGATCAAGGAGAGAAGAAAAGTGCTGTTAAAAATGTCATAAATTTTTTGCTTAAATTAGTCTCATTAATTTTGTTCTTAACATACGCTAGCTTAACCACCTAAAGCAACGAGCTTACACACAGAGAACAAGCATTTACCAACACTGAGCGAGCGATCGAGCTTCATACATAGCTATGCAACACTGATTTAGATTTGGAATTAAATTAGATATTTCGTCATTCGCGTTTCTTTTTCGGTACCTTGTCAGACTTATTTTTGGCCAAATGCGATGGTGGTGCATTCTTTATGACCTTCATTTGGTCCAGCTGTTCCTTGGTCTTAAAATCAAAACACAAAAAGTCTTCAATATCAATGTGGACACATTTTTAAAGAGGAAGTTAAAGAGATTAAAACACGGCATTTTTTCGGAGTTGTGTTTGAGTTTTTACTTTTTCTATTGCTCTTCAATTTATGCTAGCTTGGAGGTGGGTCGGGACACTTTATAAAAATATATACTACTTCAGTCAAATCATTGAAGGCGGAAATATATAACATATGCCGGTGGCAAACATCAATCAAACTTTAGAACAAACTGAGCCCCATATTTTATGCAGCAGCGGCGGCGGAAGGCGGGCAACCGATGGCGCTATAACGAGGATCCTGCCATGTTAGTGCTTGGTTACACAGGTCGTCATACCAACTGGCTTGCATTCATTTGGGTTAATTCGTATCATTCACTGTGGTTTTGTGGTAATGGCGGCGGTGGTGCTTGTTATGGGACTCTTTCAATCGAGTTCCGTTCGTCATGCTCGATGCTTCCCATCATTAGAAATGATTCAAGAGTTACATGACAATTAACTTAAGAGTGCTTTCGGGATATGTTATTGTTATGGATATCATCATCTCTCTATATATCTAAATGCTTGCGCTTCACTATGTCTCCTATGAATTGAATTTGGGTTAGGTTTTAGAACTCGGCGGAGTTTTCGTTGGGTTAAGTGTTCGTTGCGTGTTTTAAATAGTGTAATTTTAATGGGATATACGAAACGATAACTTACCATTGTCTTCCCTGTCCAGTCGAACTCGCCCTCGTCGGTGTATCCCTTACGATCGAATAAGTCTTGAAACAGTCTTCGCAGAAAATCATAGTCGGGAGTTTCGAAAAAATCTAACCGCCGTACGTAACGCAAATATGTCGCAAACTCTTCCGGATGTCCATCGCAAAGCACCTGCCACGGGAATAACAAGACATTAATTAAGGGCTCATTGTAATTGAGACAAGGTTTTGGGAAATTTAGGGATATAGTTCACCTCGATGGGCGTTGCTCGTTTCGTATCACCGATTTTTTGATATCTCTCCTTGAGTGTATCAGCCTTCAGGCCTTGCCACGGCAGTGAACCTCTTAAGAAATACATAAACATATGACCCAATGCCTCCAGATCGTCGCGTCGCGACTGCTCACGCCCCATATGCGTGTTGATTGACATATAACGTGCCGTTCCAGTTAGGGACTTATGCTCCCGATATGGTATATGCCTATTTGTATCTAAATCAATGTATTCTTTGGCCAAACCGAAATCTGTGGAGAGCAAAAATAAGGATTAGAGTGTGGTAATGGTTAAATTAACCGACTTACCAATTATATGTATAATTTTTTCACGTTTTGTTGACGTTCTGCCAATGAGAAAGTTCTCTGGTTTCACGTCCCTATATATTAAGTGCCGACTATGAACATATTCGATCCGGTGGAGCTAAATTTTTATTATGAGGAATTTTTCGGAAAAGAATATAGATATTTGTTAGTTATTTTATTTTATTCAAGGGCCAAAAAAGAGCACTTTAAGAATTGTATGTCTATGGAGTGCTCTTTTTTTATTTGGATTTTAGAATTTAAATTACATATTTAATTTTTCTCTGTAGTGTCTCAACTAGCTGTATATGTAATGTTTTTCACTGTAATTTTTTTTCATCGATGACAACGTATTTCATTATTTATCGTTTGTTTTCGCTGATAAATCAAAATTATAAAGAACTCAGGAATATCTAAGTTTAACTACAAATTGATGTGTACATGCAAAATTTAATTTAGTTACAATGAACGTTTGTTTTTGTTTTGGCTGAATTTTGTTTCTGATATTTAATAACTATTTTGGTAAAGAAGGCATTGACGTGAATGGTGACTCGGAATGAATGCAAAAAAAAACTTAAAAATTAGGAACAAATTAAACCTCAACCAGGTGGCTACGATTTATGTCAGAAAGAGTGAGTCGGAGAGAGTCGAGATAGAGAGGCAGCGACCTATCGGTTTCTTGTTAGTAATGAGCATCAAATAAACAGTAAATAAAAGAGTTAAAACTATAAGCTAATTTTGAACCAAGCAACCCTAATAAAAACGCATATACACACCCCAACCCACACACACGCAAAACAAACAAAAGGTGTTTCGATCTTGATCTTAGTACTAGTGTTGGTTAATTTTGGACTCGGCTACCAGTGTTGTGAATGTGATTATGTGCAGAGTTATGCGCGTGCTTTAGGAAATCTTAGCTGATTGCAGATATCTGTTGATTTGGCTGCGTTGTTTTACTTTTGTTTTTGGTGGATTTTGTTGTGGTAGTACTTACTAATTGTATAGCTATCAGAAGTACGCTCTTCAAAGTGAAACGTCTGCCGCAAATATCGAATAAATCTTCGAGTGATGGACCAAGCAACTCCATAACTAGAGCATTGTATTTGCCGCATGGGCCGAAGTAATATACTTCTGGTACACCCTCTGCTATCGATTGATCGATCGATTGATTGATTGATTGGTCAATTTTTTTCGTTTGGTTGGTTGATTGGGTTGACATGGAATTTTGTTTGGAGGAAGCGAGCGAGTGTTTATTATTTATTCGAGTGTTGGACAGCGCACAAAAGTTTTTTGGTTGTTCGATTTGTTGTTTATTGTTGTTTTTGTTGTATTTATGCAAAAATTCGTGAACAAGAGATAAAAAGAGAGAGATGGGAGAGAGAAGAAAGAAAGATGAGAGATACAAAATAGAAAACATTTTTTTTAATATACAATTTTTTTTAAGCTGCATTTCTTTTAATTTTACGGGTCGGGTCGGACACAACAAAAAGGAGAGAGACAGATTGGGAGAGTGATGTGTAGAGAGCGATGGAGTTACGGCTCATGTTTTGGAGGTTAGTGTAGCGCGTCTTACGATATTACCACCTTTCATTTGACAGAGATCGAGCGAAATATAAATACATAATCGGGCAACTGTGCTAAACACAACAAGAACAACAAAAATAGAGATTCTCGAAGCATATACACAAGGAAAAGCCTGCTGGACGACCAACCTGGAGACGGGAACTCACCTACCAACTCATCCTCCTCCTCCTCCGTACCTCATTTGACCTAACCAGTAGAAACTTTATCTCGGGTATAACAGTTCTTTGTGTGCTTAAAACTAATCTTAACACTAGAGTAGTTTCCTTGGTGGTTGTGTGTGTGGTGTGTATAACAGGTTTTTGGGATTCTCTGAGTTCCGATAAAGAGTTCGATAGATCTTTTGCAACTGTGTTAGTAGTTTTGGTTAAATTATATACATTGCACTTTTTTATCAAAGGGAAAAAGAGCGAAAACAAAAGTCAGTTTGATAAATGAAAACATAGTGAAGTAATGTATTAACAAGTTCAACTGTTATAATAATCGCATTATTTCAGTTGTTTTTCTTTCTTGAAAATACAATAGAAGAAAAGTTTCCTAATGGTTGTATGTACAAATAAGTGTTTGATTGGTTTCTAAAATTCTATACGACTCTTTTTGTAACATGCTTTTTAGGGATTGCTTTTTGTGTTTATAAAAGTTCTTGCAGATCCCTTAAACGATATTAAAAGTTGCAACAAAAAAGTATTATTACTGCTACAATATTTTCAACATATCTACAGTAAACTAAAAACTTGACTAACGTTCATTGCTGAAATCTAAAACATACGAAATCAAAAAAACTATAAAGAAACCTATATTTTAGCCGTTGAGACACTTTTGTTTCAAAATATAAATTGAAATTTTAGAAAATCGGTTTTTAGACGAGATGCTGGCGGATTTCACAAGATATAGCTGTTATACAGGACGATTTAAAAAACAATTTTTAAACAGTGTTTTACATTGTGTGCAATGCAGTTAGCATTGGATTTTTAGGATGTTTAATTCTGATAAGCGAGATGCATACTCCCACATAAAATATAAGTGTGATTATTGTAATCAAGTGAAACCCGCCTAACTTTCGCCAAAAACGCAATTCTGGTGATGGTTTTCAATCTTATTGGTTGCCACACTTACAAGTTGTTTCGCTATCATCAATACAGTCTTAAGTGAAAATTTACGGGCGCAAATATTGAAGAGATCTTCTAATGATAATCCCAATAACTCTAAAACCATGGCATTGTAACGGCCACCGCAAGTGCCCAAATGATAAATGCGTGGTATGCCATCTGGGGCGTTATCGGCTGCATTTCGGTATTGATTCCAATGACGCATTTGGTTTGCATTTTATAGTCATTCAGATACAGACAGAATCCAATTCCAATTCCGATTTGGGGTCCGATATAGTGGTGGGGATGGTGAGTGAGGGGTTGGTTCATAGCATTATATTATAGCGACATGGCATCACAATGTATTATGCAACAGTTGATTGTAGTTGGTTGTTTGCAGGTAGTTGGTTGGTTCAATTCAGTTCATTTTCGAGTTGGTTGTAATGTTGTGGTAGATTGCAGCAGACACGGGGAGAAATATATAGATAGATAGAGAGCGGCGCATGATGATCGGATTCGGGTTTAAATTTCAATTTAGCGGTGTTTTGTTCAATAATTCATAGCAAATATATATTTTTTCGATTTGGTGGTGTAGTTATTGTTGTAATAGTTGATGAATAATGGAGGAACAAGAGCAATATATTTATATAAACAACAAATAAGAAAAAGCAATAGAAAAAGGAAGAATTTTAAACGAAACAAAAAAAAAAGCAAGAATTAATCAAAAGTTGGGTAATAGTTGAGAAATCGATATATATAGTTTGGAATATATATAGAGATTTGATTTTCGTGATTTTCGAGCTGTTTTACATTGGCGGGTATAAGAGTAGTTGCAGTTGCAGCCTAAGCTGTTTCACTACAGACGTACAATATACAAGAAGTGGTGTTTATACAGTTATGGTTTTCAATCATTTATTATTTTTCAAATTTCACTTCACGCACCGACCGACCTCCGAAAATATGCTTGAGAAAATCTATTCATGTTTTTCTTTTCGTCGTATTCTTTCTTCGCAATGCGTTTAACACTTGCGAGGTACCAGAAGTGTTATACAAAAATGATAAATATATTCGTTTACATATGAAACTAATCAAGTGGTGGTAACGGTGCAAAACTATATTATTCTCGGTAGTTTTAGGTTAGTAGAAGATAGAAGTGGGGAGAGAGATAAAGTGTGACAAGGAAAAAGTGACCGGCTTGGATAATATTAAATTTCTTTTTTTTTTTTTTGTACAATCTGTACTTTTTCAGAGCTTTTTGAATTATCTTCCCTGCACAGGTCTTTTGTTGTTAGTTTGGTTGTTAGTGTTAAGTGGGACGACAGCTTTTTGGGAAAAGTAAGGGGTTGGATCGAAGGACGGACTGCAGAATTATAAATTGATAGTTTACATACCATGTGATCCTAATAGTTTATAAAACCTATACTCTAAGTGTAGTTGCGGAGCCTTTGACTTCATAGGCTCCATTTTTATTGCTACATGTTCATTGTTGTAAAGATTTTTGCCTGTAAATGGAAAATAATGGAAATTAGTAATGTTTTTTCTCAAGATAGCTTAGAAGTAAGACAAAAAATCAATTCAAAATCCCAAACGGCAATATAAAAATTTCAAATAAGAGGCAGGTGATTTTACATGCTCAAGACCATCGCGATTTGCATGCATTCAACTTGTTTACCTGCCCCACTGTTGTCAGCAGTGCCACGCCCATTACGCCCTCCGACACCACTACCACCGAAGCAACACATTCGGCGACCTAGCCAAATGGAGGAAAACAAAATCAAAGTAAGAAACTGGCTCTACATATTTCCTTGTTCTCAAAAACTCCTTTGTTACTCAGAAAACAATCTCTATAACTGAGAAACTCATTCCCAGAATGAAATTACAATACACTATCTTTAAGGGTAACCAAAATAAAATGTTTCTTAAATTAAAATCATTAAATTATTTATACTAAAACTGATTAAAGCCTTTAATGGACTTTTCAAAATACAAATTATAGTTTGGGATTAGGGAAAATCGCTCGGAAGTGGAATTGAGAACAAGGCCGTTTATAATTTGAGAATTGCATTTTAGATATGACGACATGACGGAGACGCAGACAGAAGCTGAGAGAAAATGTCAACAACGAACAGTGCGCTCATGTGCGAAATTATGTCATGAGAAAGGCGGTGAGAGAACCCACCAAGAATGTGTGGGTGGCTTGGGTTGGGTTTTTATGAGTTGTCTGGGTGGGTGGATGGGTGAGACAGACGTTGCTTATCAACAGACACAAAATTAAAACGTTGATAGAGTCGTCGCACTCAGATATGTATGTATGAATGTAGATATAAGCACGGCGATAGGAAGCCGCATGATTTTGATTACATGCTAGAAAATGCTCTTTGCCCACAACGCCCCCTTGAAAGCATTTGTTTGTCGAATTCTTGGAAAACTTTGGCATAAAAGGGGGAAAAAACGCAAAATTAACAATAATTTGTTGATGAAATTGTATTTCTGCAAAATTCTTTACATTTCCATGGAACGTAGCAATCTTTAGTTCTGGAAAACCCCTTTTGTCGGGGATATTATTTATACACCTTTAATACATTTTCCAAAGGGATGACTACTTAATTCACTTGTCAAAAATCATTATGGTCCAATAAGGAGCATGATCATGAGGCCGCTGTACTAAAACACCTAAAACCAAACCGATGAGCGAATCATCTACAAATACCGTGACCTAACTCAATATAAAATACTAATCATAGTACAAAATCCACAAAAAATGGAAAACAATCCTTAAAAGATTCGTTGACAACAAGTTGCGCACTATAAACAATAAAACAGCTCACAGAAACTAAAAGAGCGGTGGAAAAACCAAATTTTATAAAGGGCGTGCTGCGCTAAACAAAAATAAAGCGAAAGTTCCCAAATTAAACGAGAAACGCCCACGCGAGGGGCCCATAAAAATGAGCTAAGAAAAGAGGCGGAAAAGTATTTAGGTTGGTCAACGTTCTGGTTTCCCAACTGCTTCTCTAATATATTATTTTTCTTCTGTTTTTGAAATGGGTAAAAACACAAAAGAATCGGGGGCCCGTTGAAAATGAAAAACGAAATTATGTCATTTTGATTGCAATTCGAGAAAAATGCCCAAAAATTGAAAAGCCCAAGCATTTGGCTTTTATCTCAACGTCAGCAGTAATCTGATTTAATAACAAAAGAAAAGAGCCAACAAACACATACTTTGCCGTTAGGTATTTATAGACCACAATTAATAAAAATGATATCATAAGCGAAATGAAATGGGCTCTGCGACGTCATAGAAATATAAATTAAAAATATAATTTCGATTCAGCCCTACCGAGCAGATAGAAGCAATGCTTCTCAAACTTTGCGATTATCATGGTTATCATAATTTGAAAAGGCAATACAAATTAGCCAATTAAAAACAGCATTCAAGTGTGATTGTTTTTGTCAACGCTTTTGCCTAATGAGTCATGCAAAAACCCCATGCGAAGCAAATGCAACAAAAAGTCTCGAGATGCTGAGGTGGAACAAAGAAAAAGCACGGCTCAGACCGGCTGAAAGAGACAGACTGAGGGGCTGGGAAAGAGAGCGCACGATAATTACAGTTTTAGCGGCACTGCCACAGCCGGCTGAGAATTAGCTAGACGATATAGTAGTACTACCTGTTGGCAATGTGACAACAAATGCACAAAAGGAAGTGGCAGGCCCCAAAAAAAACACAGAAAATACAAAAAATAAACAACGGCCGGAGGGGCGGGACCTGTATGAAACAACTTTATAAAAGCGCATTTAGCAAACAAAGCCAAAATGACGACAACGACGATGCCAAGAAAACAGATGGCGGAATGGAATGGCACTTTTTGTTGTATTGTGCACTCTTCGTCGCCAGTGAAAAGGAGCGGGGAACTGTTCCCATTGTGGCTAACAGACCTGGAAAGGAATGCCCCACGAAAGGAAGTGGCCAACGAAAAAAACCAAGAAAGAAATAAAGAACCCCAAAAGCCCGAAACGCGACATTATTTGCATGCCAACAGGCAAAAATTGGGAAAGAGAAATGGTTAATGTGACGGTCGGTTGTACAAAGTCTGGCTTGGAATTGTAAACATAGTAATCGGGTAATTCTAAGAGCTATCTTTCCTCAAAAATGATAACATAATTATCCTGTTATATTAAATTTGATTTAAAGACTAATTTCTGATATTACTTTGATTTATTCCTAAAGTTCAAGCATAAAAATTCAACCATGATCAACATTGTAAACACTTCAACACAAATGGGCTAACATCATATTGTAATGATCTTTGAACATTGAAATCGATTGATTGTCTTATTCATATTATTGTTTTTTACTTACCTAAACGCAATTCGCCAAAATTACCACAGCCAATTTTTTTACCGACACGAAAATTTGGTCCGACCATAAGTACACCGGTTGTGGTGCTTACAGATTGGCGGGTGGAATACATGTTATTGCTTGAGCTTTTACCACCGGCTAGGGCTGTGGTGGCATTTGCCACATTACCAGCGGATGGACCGGCAGTTGTCGTTTGTGGGCCACCGCCACTGCAAAGAAAGAGAACGGAAATCGATTAGTAACAAGTTGATTGCAATGAAAATAAACATTTCACGGGTCTTGGGATTCGGATGGTGGAGAGCAACAACCACCTGATGTAGACTAAAGCCTAAAGTCAGACCAGTGTGACCAACATTAATTATCAAGCTACATTCTTAAAAATTAATGCGTTAGTCCCATCTAAATCCTCTATATCCTTTTTGTTTAAATATTTACTTTAGTTTGTAATATCAATACGTACTCTTCCTCCTTGATATACTTTTGTAGGGATAAATATTTGCGCAACATTTAATTTTGAGAGACCAAAAAGGCCCGGGTATACCAGATCTAAACTATTTACAAACGGAAATCGGAAAGCAATAGAGTTCAAAAACCTATTCGACCAAAAAAAAATATTGTCATTCCGTAAGTGGGCGTTACTGCTACAACTGCTCATAAATAAGTTTTTTATTCTTGGCCCTGCGAAAAAGACCCAGGACAATGACACAGAAACTTTTTGCATTTTCAAGTAGCCCAACGCAGCAGACAACTAAAATCGATTCGAGCCGAGTTGTGTAGGCCAGGTTAGTTTCTGTTTACCTAAGCTCTTGGAAAAGGGAATTGAGAACTAGCTGCTGGTTATGGCCACATGTCCGGAGAGCTCGCTCAGGCATAACCAATCAAGGGGAGTTGGGACAGCGTTTTCGAATAGAGTAGAGTAGAGTCGAGGCGAGTCGAGTGGATTGTAGTGGAGTGACTCATGGCCAGACAAGGGAAATATGTTTGATTAAGACAAAAGGTTTTGCTTTGTTGCACTTCGGGATGGGTGTGGCCACTGAAAGATCTTTTATTCTCCCATGCTTTTCATTGTTGCAGAATTTAGTTCAATGTCATCGGGGTTAATCGGTATTACAACGTTGCTATAGTTACTTAATTGGGTTAGGGGTTACGTTGTCTTCTGTAATTGCGGGGATATTCTTAAAGATAATGTAACGCAAATGAATTACCGAAAAATCAGTCCAATGCAACAATGTAAACGAAAATACAATAAAGATAAAGATTATCAGGTTCGCCCACAATCGCTTTTCTTGATAAGTTTATTTATTACTATATAAGATATACGAATATAATTGGGTAGATCAAAATTTGAGATCCGTTTTCAACGTGTAGTTAAAATTGTTATCGCTTTTATTGATATGAAACCTAAGCTGATTACTAGGAAATTGGGTCAGTGGTGTATTGCATTTAAACTCCAGTTCCTTAGAATATGAAATTCTTATTATTTTGAAAACTTAAATTATAAGAATCCTTAAATTTTCAAATGTACTCCCAACCTGATCTTTCAGTCAATGCCGCTTCTCAAAACATACAATTGCAAATGGCTTAAATTATATGTAGTCAAATCTTTTCAAGCACTAGGTAGTTGAACATGGAAAGAAAAGTCTGAAGCTTAGAAGCGGTATCCACCCGAAACGATTAACAGGAAATTATTAGGTATTCCCACTCGTTTCAGGACCGCCTCTCCTCCGCCTCCCCTTCCATTGCCATAATTTCTACTTTCATCTAATATCAGTCTGCCGGTTTTCGATTATTTGCCAGCTGCAAACGGGAGTCGGAAAATCTTATCTGCCCACAGTTTTTTTTTTGTAAAACTCGATGGAGAAGCAATAGCAACATATACAAACAACCGATAATTGTACCGTTAAGCGGGGCTGTAAGAAAAAAAATCACAAAGACTAAAAACCGCCGATAACAATTAAAGAGTAAATTGCTGTGCACAAGAGCAAAGGGGATTGATCAGGCGACGAAATGAATCAGAAACAAGTTCGAGTTCTACTTCGATTACAAGTTCCTTCTTTGTCCCCTGGCGGATAAAAAAAAACCCACTGGACACTTGCATATAAATAACTTGCACCCTAGATTGTAGTTCCTAGGGTAGTTTACTTTTGTATAGTTAGGTAAGGTAATTCAAAATAAATAATTCCTGTTTATCTAGTTGTTTTGTTCCATAGATAGGAAAAGCCATGCCTAGGCAAGAATATTTAAATTAAGCAAATACACCACTATTTAATTCCAGTGTATAAACACGATGATACATTTTTTATCGACGAAATGAAAACAAAACGTCTCTCATCCATCAACAACTAATTAGTCGCGTATTTCTAGTTGGTCAGCTTTCCTAGGGTATTTCATTGCCTCGGCAAGTCTCATTTTTCATGCTTTTCTTGTTATTGCTTTGACTGTTTTATGGCTTAATATCCTGGGGCTAAAACTGGTTCATGCACACACAAGTATGTATGTTTTTCTGTGTACATATGGACGGGTATTAACGTATAAATGGCCGAGTGTCCATCGATCGATCGCCGTTTGTCTCTACTTCTTCGGTATATCTGGCTCCCCACTTAAAACCATTTTTATTCGGTTGGTCTCCGCGTAATGTTTTTTGTTATTCTTTTTTGTTTTCATTACTTTTTGGGGTCGGTTTGGTTTCTTAGCTTTCTACGCCGACTTCAGCTTCTGCTTCTTCTTCTTCTTGCCACTGCCTGTGGCCTCGTCTGGAAACGGGTTCTCACTTTGTCGCTGCCGGTTGTTCTTAAAGATTGCCTTGTTTTTTCATGAATCAGAATGTGAGAAAAAGGCTCTCGGCTGGAAATCGCAGCTGGGGTATTGCAAAACGGTTTCCTTGACGGTAAGGGGTTAATAATAAGCACAGCTCAATAAGCACTCGATAGCTGTATGTATGTATCCAGGTCTGAATTTAATCCAATATTTAATAAAGAATTTTGTATCTTAAATTGTATATCTTTGAAGTAATATGATTTGCAGTGGTCATTTTCAATTTTTAAAAACAAAAACCAACACAAACAAACATATTTCGTCTTCATTGATAGATTTTTTTGAGCGAGCTTTCACATTTTTTCCGATAAGAATATGACATAACATCGTCATCAAAAGAAATTAACACTTGTTGCAAAACCAAATGTGACTACCAAATAACCCGTTCAAAGAAATTGAATAATATAAAAACAGAACAAACTCTTTTTCGAATTTCTTTATTTTGTTTGCTGCGTTTGGTCGCAGAGAAAAACAAAATCAATAATTAAAAATAAGCCAAGAGCTAAAAATAGTATTAAGCACAAGGTGGGTTGACCAAACTCACTCATTTACCCCCCAAATAAAGAGGTGTGTGTGTGTGGGACACTTTTATCTGTATCTGTGTGTGGCTCATAAATAAATCAAGTGTAAATTGAACACAAATCCGACTCAAAGAAAAAAGGGCGGGGAATGGAGATAAATAGAACAGAGAACATAGAGAACTTGCGCTGATGACGGTAATAGCAGAAACCGCAAACAGCGGAAAATCATAATTAGAATCCCTCAACATTAGCGACAACAACAATCACGACACATAAAGAAATTTGTTCGAAAAAGATTTGAAAATCAAATCCATTTTTTTTAAATTAAAAAGTTCAAATCTTTTTTTTTGTATAGTAGCTGAAGTTCCTATAAATATAAAATAACTAATTCAAACATTTTTCCTATATATTCCTGTATTTTTTTGCTGTGTATCTCTACGAAAAACAAGATGAAACCGCAAAGGAATTTCCCCTAATTTGACAGAATATTGATTGGCAACCAAGGTGACATGGTGACTCCTAAACTGTGACTAACTCGTATAATTGTAAATTTAATTAAAGCCCAGAAAAGCCACTTAAGCAAGAAGCCTCAAAAAAAAAACCAAAAGCCACTCACCAAAAACTTTAAGGGGGAAATTACATAAGCAATCAGAGAAAGCAAATGGCGGTAGAAAATAAACAAATGATAAAGAAAATCGAGTGATAAGTGCGTGTGTCTATACTTGTTACTTTGTCTGTGTTTGTGGGGGGCCTTATCAGCTAAAGATTTGTGTGACGTTACGCAGCACTTGTTTTTCACTCTTCCTCTCTGCCAATGGCTTACAATTTATTTGTTGCTATAATTTCTATTTATATAAACAAACAATTTCATTACAATTGCACAGCACGAGCAATTGAATTTCAATTATGCAAATCAATTGAAAAGGCGTACAAGATTGTCCAAACATCCGGCTTGGGAATACTCTTAAAAGTTATTTAGATAATAATTTAGATAAGAAGAAAGCCAAATTTATTTTAAATAAATGTAAGGCCTAGCATTAAGTGAGGTAAATATTTAGCATATTTGTTCTATTTGGGAAGTACTCCTGAAATAGATTTTTCTACCTAGCAACTACATATTTTTTAATCACATTTATTTATAAAGTGCACATTTCAATTTTTAGATTTGTTGGAAGTTGACCACTAATTGAATTGCTGATTCAAAATATACCAGACCGAGAGAAAGCTCTAAATAGATTTAAAACAGAAACTGAAATATATCCTATAACTGCAGATTCCTTGTAACTCATAATGAAAAATATTATTTTAAAATAAAAGTGTAAATTAATTGGCAATGTGGATAAACCAGCTCGATTGGCAATATGCTACGAATGCGTTTTGGCTTGTTGCTATTAATGAGATTGTGTTTTTTTTGCTACTGCCTTGTTGTTGGTAATCGAATCGTAATCGAATTGCTATAACGCCCAGCATAACGACATAACGTAACGTGTCAATATCCATTTTCAATGGCATTTGACGTTTTGAAAGCCAAAGCGGCAGAGTGAAGTACAACAACTATGTACAACTAAAACTAATACAATGGCAGCACTTTGATTCGCATAACATAAATGAGCGCACACACTCGGGCTTTCTTCCCTCTCTCTGCCTCTCCAAACCCCCCCACATCACACCCAACTGACCTATCAACACTGATAAGCGGAGAGAGCGAGAGAGAGAGGGAGCCTTGCACACACACACACACAAAAGCCACTCGAGAACTTACACACACAGGCACAAGTTGGCTAGATAAGCGCGCCTTGATTAGCAGCGACGTCAGACAATAGCGAGTCGAAATGAACGAGTGGGAAGTGTGAGAAAAGAGAGTGGGGAGGAGCCGGCGCGGCAGCAGCCCATCTCAAAGTGGGAGGACAACTCAAGCGGAAGAGGGAGGAGAGGAAAGAAGGAGAGAGACAGATGCAAGCGCCACTGCACCTTGCACAGTGGGCGGCATCGTGGAATTGATAAATTTATACTTAATACAAATTAATTTAAAATGAAGAATATAAAAATCTATTATATTTTTTCTTACTTCCTCTAGTTTTTTATACCTGGTACCTGTCCTCATTCGTTATTAACCGAATAGACTCCACTGTAACGCCAGATTTGGGGCTGGGCTAGCACGTCACCCAGCCCACTTCCACTTTCAGCGGCAGAAACAACAATTCCATTGACGACG